TGCAAAAACACACTGCATTGCCCCAAAGAAAGATTACTCTTGTTCAGCAGGATATGTGTGTTTTGAATACTGCGTTTGTTAGCAGGTATGGGGATGTTGTAATTATGATGAAGTCATCTAGCATATTCTGCAGAAATTGTGTTTTGTTGATGGGACGTGCAGTAGCATTTATCAAAGGTAGAGTGAACACCTGGACACTTCTTCAAGCAATACATGCTCTAGTGGACATGCACACAGCTTCTTTTGTAGCCTACGCTTTAGCAGGTGATTACAGTTAAAATTACTTTACTTCGTGTGATCCCCACCATGACATTTATACATTTTCTTACTGGCAAATCTTCTGGCATTCTATCTGACATATCTTCTGACATTCTATTTGGCATTCTATCTGGCATATCTTCTGGCATATGATATGGCATATCTTCTGGCATTCTATCTGGCAAATCTTCTGGCATTCTATCTGGCATATCTTCTGGCACTCTATCTGACATATCTTCTGGCATTCAATCTGGCATTCTATCTGGCATATCTTCTGGCATATATTCTGACATATCTTCTGGCATTCTATCTGACATATCTTCTGGCATATGTTCTGACATATCTTCTGGCATATCTTCTGGCATATCTTCTGGCATATCTTTCTGACATATCTATCTGGCATATCTTCTGGCATATTTTCTGGCATTCTATCTGGCAAATCTTCTGGCATTCTATCTGGCATTCTATCTGGCATATCTTCTGGCATATTATCTGGCATTCTATCTGGCATATCTTCTGGCATATCTTCTGGCATATGTTCTGGCATATCTTCTGGCATTCTATCTGGCAATCCTTCTGGCATTCTACCTGGTATATCTTCTGGCATTCTATCTGACATATCTTCTGGCATTCTATCAGGCATTCTATCTGGCATATCTTCTGGCATATTTTCTGACATATCTTCTGGCATTCTATCTGGCATTCTATCTGGCATTCTATCTGACATATCTTCTGGCATATGTTCTGGCATATCTTCTGGCATTCGATCTGACATTCTATCTGGCATATCTTCTGGCATTCTATCTGGCATAGCTTCTGGCATTCTATCAGGCATATCCCTTGGCATTTTATCTGGCATATCTTCTGGCATTCTATCTGGCATAGCTTCTGGCATTCTATCTGGCATATCTCATGGCATATATCCGGAATATCTTCTGGCATTCTATCTGGCATATCTTCTGGCACACTTTCTGCCAATCTATGTGGCATATCTTCTGGCATTTAATGGGCATTCTATCTGGCTTTTTTTTCTGACATTTTATCTGGCATATCTTCTGGCATTCTATCTGGCACATCTTCTGGCATTCTCTCTGGCATACCTTCTGGCACTCTATCTGGCATATCTTCTGCATTCTATCTGACATTTTCTTTGGCATTCTCTCTGGCATACCTTCTGGCATTTTATCTGGCATATCTTCTAACATTCTATCTGACATGTTGTTTGGCATTCTCTCTGGCATATCTTCTGGCATATCTTCTGACATTCTATCTGACATATCTTCTGGCATTCTATCTGATCTGGCTGTTGAGGTCCAGCGGTGCACACTGAGCTGGGCAGGTCCCCGGTTGAGGTCCAGCGGTGCGCACTGAGCTGGAAAGGTCCCAGGTTGAGGTCCAGCGGTGCGCACTGAGCTGGGAACGTCCGAGGTTGAGGTCCAGCGGTGCGCACTGAGCTGGGGAGCTCCCAGGTTGAGGTCCAGCAGTGCGCACTGAGCTGGGAAGTTGGCGAAGAGCTTGGCGACGAGTTGGCAAGGCGGAAGTGGAGGTGGAAGTTGATGCAGACATGGCCAAGGAGAAACTGGAGGAGGAGGCGAGGAGGAGGAGGACGACGAGGAAGAGGCCAGCTAGTCGAGGAGAAGGAGGAGGAGGCGGGCAAGAGCTCTGATAAAATCTAACAACCCTCACCTGGCAGGTGGGGAACAATGAAAAAAATGCACTCTCACAGCGTCCTGCCCTCCAGAAGTTTATGGCTACTTTTTGTGGCTCCAGCGCTGTGCATATTTTCACATGGTGAGTTCAAAAAAATCTGGGCCCAAAATGGCCGTCTTACGTGGCCATAGAAAATCAAGATGCTATTAAGAACGGTAAACCATCGAACTAAATGGACTATAGAAATTGGTTCATCATCCCATCAATCTATGGACTACCATTGATTTAGCCATGTATTTTTTTTGCTGGAATTGGTAAATTTAACCAATGAAACAACCTATGATAATTGAAATCATTCCAATTTAATAGGTAAATCATAATGGAATCATTGATTTTTTTGCGGGAAATTGTGATCAACCTTTGTGAAAAATCGTTCGGAAGTCAGCTACTTGCATGCCAATCTGAAACATGAGTTCATTTATCTGGCTAAATTATGATAATTCACTAACCTGAATTAAGGCCATTTGGGGATGATTTCCCTCACTAACCATGATTCCAGTGAGGTCGCAGTGAGGTCGTTATAATTTACCCAGATTTATGATCATTCATGTTCATCAGTTTTTTTTTGAAATATTACATATGGAGATCGTTGACCAATAGATGTGCCAATCATGGTTTTTCAATGTGTCTCATGAACTTAAGTGATTTCTCATCCCAAGATGGCTACAGCTGAAGTTGGGTCCGGAAAAACCGGCTGAGTTTTTTTTTTTCGGATCTGACAGACAAAGCACCACTGATTGGTATCCTATCGCTTCCTCCAATCTGAGACGATCTGCCCATGCCCATGGATGCACTGGGCTACCTGGTGGACCTGGTGAACCTGGTGGACCTGGCTTAGCATCGCAGATTCGAGTCGAAAAGTTTCCCTCTTTGAAACACTTCAGCCACTCTCCGAACATTTTTTCGGCAATGAGTCGTTCCTTGTTCTGCAGTCGCCCAATTTTTGTGAAGAGGCCCTTCAAGAAATCCTAGCAACTTAAAGGCATTCTGAAGTGCTGTGGCAAGTTTCTTGTTCTCCTTAGATTGTCCTTTGGTACAAGATTCATCTCACCACAGAAAATACCCAAAATACACAACCTGGACCCGACCATGACCATCAAGGGTGTTTCTCCAATGTGGTATTATGACTCGCAAAAAATGCTCGGAACTTTGAACTGCGCTGCAACAAGGGAAAACGAGACGAGGCAACCCTTCCGCACAACGTAATCCATCCTTTGGGGTAGCCACCCGAGAATTTCCGTTTGAAAGTAATTGATCTATATGATTTAAAACATGGTTTGTGAATTATATAGGGGCATTATATATGATTATATAGTAATCTATCCAAGAATCCATTTACTGTACAGTAGGCCTTCCCAACAATCCAAATTGCTCGGATCCTTGTCAGGTTTCGGATTGCTGGACCTTTACCTCTTATAAGACATTTTAAACATTTTTGTTCATGAAATTTGGGCATGAATTGTCCAAAACAAAATAGTGAAGTGAAGACATGTGAAGACTGAACAAATCTACAAGTCAAAGAATTTACTCCAAAAAAAGCAATCTTAACAAAATCGATGTTACCCAGCATAAATATGATCATATGGGTATGGATCAATACCTACTAATACCATTTTTAGGGGAATGAACATCCATTTACCAGCTATTTTGATGTTCACCAGGGGTACAAGGTCTTGACACACTGCCATATTGACATGGGTTTTTTCCAAAAAAATCTGCCGCCTCCGGTGGCCCCCCGGAGGCCACCCAAACGCACCCGGGGCCACCTTGGCACCTTGGCACCGTCCCAGTCTGGGCATGTCTGGGCCTCAGCTGCGACTTGGATGAGGACGGTGAAATCCATGGATTTTTCAAAGAAGTTTAACTGGAAAGGATATAAAGAAGATATCTGGTAAACTAACATATCTATGGAAAATCACTATTTTTAATGGGTAAATCCACTATTTCTATGGCCATTTTAATTGGAATGATGACTGATTGGTGGTTGACCTACCCCTCTGAAAAATGATGGACAACTCGTCAGTTGGGATGATGACATTACCATCAACATCCACCAACCAGAAAGGATCTTCGATTTTTCTAGGCCCAGAATGGCCCAGATGAATCCAGCATGTTTGCAGTTGAGCCAATTGGAAAACCTTCCCAAATGGAAAACAATATGCATACAGAGTTCAGTGCCAATTGCTATAAGTACCATTTGCCACCATTCACTTCATGGGTTGCAAATAAAGGGCAGTCCTACTAATCAAACAAGTCGAATTTTGGGGCATCGATGATTCGAACATGTCTGAGAATTAAAGCTGCGACGGGATTGACTGGTTGATACAGTAGGGATCAGTAGGGATTCCTCGCGCAGATTACGTGAGTTGTCCGAAAATGCGCTATAGTATTCCCAAATCCATCCAAATCCCACTTTCCCATACTTTCCCTGGTAAAACAGCAAGTTTGAGATATCCCGAAGATTGTTGGACTACCGACTTTGAGATGACCAGTGAAAGCCAGGCTGTGTGTGGCATATTCACCAGCGACATTCGCCTCAGACTGGTACTTCACGACATGTTTGTTCTCCGGGGATGTGAATCCATCGTTTGGTGGGCCAAGAATATCCAATAATCCTGAACCAAAATCACCCCCACACAAAAAATAAACAGTGTTGCTCACTGCTTGGTGCATGCTCGCCACTCAGCCTCCTAAAAAAAACCATCAAAATTGGCGGACTTCGTTGTCCATGGGAGCCCATGACGCTTCGTTACCCTCCAAGTACCAACAATTTCACCCCAGAAGAGCGTAAACGCTGATGTTTACGAGTACTTGGAGGGTCTGAATTTGGCTTTACCCTTCATGATCTTCATGTCAATCGCGTGTGAACCTCATTGATGATCAGGATCCCCTTGATTGACGTACTTAAGCCCCAGATTTGATATACTCAAACCATCTTCCATCTTAAACCCCAATGCTTCTCCCAAATAAATCTGTTTGAAGCCAAGGTATGCCAAGGTCCTCTTTGCCCACACCACTGAGCTACCTGACCCTCACTGGGAACGAGAACGGCGTCGGGGGATGTATGCACGAGTGCTGAACCTCAGGAACTACCTTCTGACCTTCGGTGGTGCCCCAGTAATCGCTGGTTTGGATCACTTCACTGTTGGGATTGCGATCTAGTTGGCCAAGTTGCTTTGTAATATTTCACTGTTCGCTTTGCAGTACGGGTTATAGATAGAAATAGAGGACATCCCATACAACCATGAAAAGCTACAACTGATAGCTCAGATTTCTTTGTTGGCTTTGTGGTTGCTTACTGGAATATTGATGAATATTGGACTGCTCAAGAAGCATTTCATTGACACCACATTGTAAGAACGGCGACGGCATTTGGGAAGTTTCTACAACGTGGGCCCCCCACAAAAGATAAGTTGGTCAATTATATATATATATATATATATATTGCATTTATATACATTATATGTCTAACTACTTTCACTCTGTTTGTTTTTAATGGTAGATATATTTATAGTTAGATGGGTTTACCACCTAAGTAGATGTTTCTTGGATGTATTTTGTTTTAAAATGTGACTGTCAAAAATAGGTTGTCGTGAAGCGACATGGGATAATGATCACCGGGGATTTTGAAACTGATGACCTGGGCAGTGTAGCCTCTGGTAAACCTTAACAAAAAACTGATGGGAAAATCACAATGTTTACTAGGTAAATCAACTATTTCTATGGTCATGTTCAATAGCTAGCTGATAGTTTACCAGAAGGTATGTCATATATTAGAAGTCAGTACCATTGTCGACTGACATCGAATTCGTCAAGTCAGCATGGCGGTTTTCCCTAAATGTTTTAAGCCATTCTCGAAGGTTAGTGTCTGAAGCATGGCCATGGCAATTCTGCTCTTTGGAGCTACCGAAAAACAGCTCAGGGATGGGAAAAACAGGGAATTCCTAGGTGGGAGACGCCGCAACTGTATCGAAGGGGCCGTTAATTCCCTGGAATTCATCTCCGAGTTTGATCAGTTCTGCGATCTGAGTAGCGTACAGTTACAGAACCTCAATGTCTTAAGATGTCTTAAGTATATCTGAGCAAATTGAAACAGCTCCATGTTGTTGTTTCTCAGTGGGGTACCCCTCAACAATTCGTTTCCCCAAAAAATATTGTAGCTCTTAATTATACAAATTGGATAACTTGGCATTCCATCCCAACATATCAAAACCAGCTTGGTTAATACTAGCTAGGATTCTGGGCTATGTATGGTTGTCTTATAATCCCTCGGTAGATTTATAACGCCGGGAAAAAAAAACAATCAAGCATCAATCAACCAGCATTTATCAATAAAACCAGCCTTTCCAGTGCTGGAAACCCATATTAGCGTAGTGGATGTTTTTTTACACATCACCCATCAACCAGGCATTGTCGCCCTTACCAGGCTGGGTTACTGGATGAAGGTGCGCTCCACTGGCAAGGGAGTTGGCCATCCCTCGAAGACTCGATGTGTCTTCAGCTCCTGGCATTTGTCTAGCCGAATCAAGCGGGATTTCATCCTTCAATGGATTGGTTCAATTGGGAAAATTTGAACCGGAAAGCCCCATTTTTTTCATGGGAAGATACCTATGGTTTCCGGTTAAGATTTTCCCTAACAAAACCAATCCATTTAACCCTGCCAGCCACCAACTTGGGGATGACTTCCCCAAGTTGATCCAGTCGTACTAAGATTCTGAAAGGAAGTGGGGCTGGCGTATGTATAATTTACTATAACCCATAGGATCCATGGTGCTGGTATATATGCTAACAGTTGGGGTATATTGATGGGATCCATGTTACCATATATAGCAGAACCATGGATCCTATGGGTAATTTGGAGGCTTTTTTGTACCTTCTCAGACAGTGGCCATGGATCCATAGGGCTTGGGGATGGTATATGTAAATTAATGTAAGTATATCCACACTGCTGGTTGGGCCACTGAATATTGGGAATTTAAAAATATCAAACCAATCAGCAAGCACACTCTTGATTGCTGAAATCCACATATTCTTGTGAGTCAATTTCACAACTTTCTTGACTGCGCATGTTTGCTGCTAACAATCTCCGCAAGTTTTCGTGGTTATTGGTGGTCACAAGTTACACCCCCATTGCTTAAATCCCCAGCTTTGGATCATGTGTGAAGATCTGCCCTGTTCGTGGCTTCACTTCATACCTGCCAAACTCTTGGTGGCTAGAAAGCGCATTTTTTTTCTTTGTAGATGAACATCCCAAGAATTCAAACAAAAAAACTAAACGACGGATGGCCCGAGAGCGTAGAGGAGCAGAGTCTTCTGTTGTTAGTATGGAGACACGCTTTTTACACACAGGCTCTTTTACACACAGGCTCTTTTACACACAGACACTTTTACACACAGACGCTTTTACACACAGACACTTTTACACACAGACGCTTTGACACACAGACGCTTTGACACACAAACACATTTACACACAGAGGCTTTTACACACAGAGGCTTTTACACACAGACGCTTTTACACACAGAGACTTTTACACACAGAGACTTTTACACACACAGAGGCTTTTACACACAGACGCTTTTACACACAGGCTCTTTTACACACAGAGACTTTTACACACAGAGGCTTTTACACACAGGCTCTTTTACACACAGAAACTTTTACATACAGAGACTTTTACACACACAGAGGCTTTACACACAGACGCTTTGACACACAGACGCTTTTACACACAGACGCTTTGACACACAAACACATTTAACATTTACACACAGAGGCTTTTACACACAAACACTTTTACACAAACACTTTTACACAGAGACGCTTTTACACACAGACGCTTTTACACACAGACAGACGCTTTGACACACAGACGCTTTTACACACAGACGCTTTTACACACAGACGCTTTGACACACAGATGCTTTGACACACAAACACATTTACACACAGAGGCATCGACCCTCATTTCGTGCGAAAGGGTTGCTCCAGGACAAGTCAAATCGCAATTTTTCCTCAGTTTTTGCCGATCGACCCTCATTTCGTGCGAAAGGGTTGCTCCGGCACAAGTCAAATCGCAATTTTTCCTCAGTTTTTGCCGATCGACCCTCATTTCGTGCGAAAGGGTTGCTCCGGGACAAGTAAAATCGCAATTTTACCTCAGTTTTTGCCGATCGACCCTCATTTCGTGCGAAAGGGTTGCTCCAGGACAAGTCAAATCGCAATTTTTCCTCAGTTTTTGCCGATCGACCCTCATTTCGTGCGAAAGGGTTGCTCCGGCACAAGTCAAATCGCAATTTTTACCTCAGTTTTTGCCGATCGACCCTCATTTCGTGCGAAAGGGTTGCTCCAGGACAAGTCAAATCGCAATTTTACCTCAGTTTTTGCCGATCGACCCTCATTTCGTGCGAAAGGGTTGACGTTTCGTGACTCGCCGCCGGTACCACCCTCGGCCTAAAGAGAGAAAGATAAAGAAGGCGAGAGAGAGAAAAAGGAGAGAGAAAGGAGAGAGAGAAGAGAGAGAGTGAAGATGTGAGCGTGAGAGAGAGAAAAAGGAGAGAGAGAAGATGTGAAGATGTGAAGATGAGCAGATGTGAAGATGAGCAGATGTGAAGATGAGCAGATGTGAAGATGAGCAGATGTGAAGATGAGCAGATGTGAAGATGAGCAGATGTGAAGATGAGCAGATGTGAAGATGAGCAGATGTGAAGATGAGCAGATGTGAAGATGAGCAGATGTGAAGATGAGCAGATGTGAAGATGAGCACATGTGAAGATGAGCAGATGTGAAGATGAGCAGATGTGAAGATGAGCAGATGTGAAGATGAGCAGATGTGAAGATGAGCAGATGTGAAGATGAGCAGGTGTGAAGATGAGAAGGTGTGAAGATGAGAAGGTGTGAAGATGAGCAGATGTGAAGATGAGCAAATGTGAAGATGAGAAGGTGTGAGAGGTGTGAAGACGAAGATGAGCAGATGTGAAGATGAGCAGATGTGAAGATGAGCAGATGTGAAGATGAGCAGCAGATGTGAAGATGAGCAGGTGTGAAGATGAGCAGATGTGAAGATGAGCAGATGTGAAGATGAGCAGATGTGAAGATGAGCAGATGTGAAGATGAGCAGATGTGAAGATGAGCAGATGTGAAGATGAGCAGATGTGAAGATGAGCAGATGTGAAGATGAGCAAATGTGAAGATGAGCAGGTGTGAAGATGAGAAGGTGTGAAGATGAGAAGGTGTGAAGATGAGCAGATGTGAAGATGAGCAAATGAGAAGGTGTGAAGATGAGCAGATGTAAAGATGAGCAGATGTGAAGATGAGAAGGTGTGAGAAGGTGTGAAGATGAGAAGGTGTGAAGATGAGAAGGTGTGAACATGAGAAGGTGTGAAGATGAGAAGGTGTGAAGATGAGAAGGTGTGAAGATGAGAAGGTGTGAAGATGAGAAGATGAGATACAGACCCCCACTATTGGAAGAACCCTGCGCTCAGACGCTCCTGGGAACAAAGTACAAAGTATTGATCAAATGGTTACAATCTGCGTCGATGTTTCATGCGATTTTGTGAGCTAACCTCTATACCAACATAGCTACGGAAAATCCACCATAATGTAGATCGTTTCCCAACAGAAAACAACCATGGCTTTTTCATAGCTCTGCATGGTGAATCTACATCTTTGCCGGGAAAGAACTATAGATCTTCTGATCCTCTTAGTTTTTGTACGTTGGTGGATGGTCATTCCACGTCGCTGCTGAAACTTCCTCGGAACTCAGGCTGGACAACTCAGAGTCTTCCTCTGTGGTGCTCACCTCACGTCACAAGTCTCGGGTTTTCTGGCATGTGGCGAGCACAGCAAAAATGGGGCTTTCACTTAATAGTTGATACCTGAAACGGGTTCATCTTGTACCTGAATATTTAGGCAAGTATGATCAAATGATGTCAAATGATGTCAAATGATGTCAAATGATGTCAAATGATGTCAAATTCAGGTACAGAACCCAATTGCTTTCCTGATATATACAGTATATATATATGGCTATTTGCACCTGAAAAACATTGAGAAACAAAAAGCACAACATGTCATGGTGATTCATGGGCTGGCCTGCTGCTCGACTTGCAGGTCCACGGACTCAGTAGCCACTTGCACCTCAGATCAGGAAAATCATCAAGAATGGAAGACAATGGAAGAATGGTGATTTCACAAAGGGAATGAACTACCGGTAACATGGGAAATAAGAGGATATACCCATCACACATTGGAAGTTAAGCCAGAACAACTTATATTTTTCGGCCACAAACATGGTGCCGCAATGTGGAGATGGTGAAATCAGGAATGAATGGTAGACATACGGATTTTGGCCAATATTGACCAATTTATCCAACAAACATGCAGGTGTGCACTGTGTTCGAAACTATTTTCTTGGTATAGTTCATGGACATTCATAGGACATCATCAATGGATACTACTGACATATAACTAACAGTATGGGGACCCAATGGGAGACAATCTGCATAGATGCCTATGAGTCAATGTCCGACCTTGTGAAAACTTGGAAACCTGGATATCCTCTGATAATCTAATATAGCTATTGACCATCACCATTGTTTTAGATAAATCATCCATAAATGGGCCATTCTTATCCATACTCCATAGTTAATTATGTTAAATTAACAGAGGATAAAATATAACAATTACCCAAACTGAGCAGTTCGGCCAGTTAAAGATAGTTACCCCAACATTATGTTTCTTGTGTGTGTCTTTGCTTTTTTTTCTGATGATTTTTCCAGTCAGTTTAATTTGTTGGTGAATATGTTTTTGATTCTGTGTTTTCTTGCTTTTTGCTTTTTTCAGTATTTGCTGAAAACAATTTTCTCTATTCCCGTTGGCCTCATATTCAAGCTTCACCTTTGAATCCCTTCACGCCTCATTCCCAATAACGTGCAGGTATACAAACATATTCTGGTTGGTGGTTTCAACCCATCTGAAAAATATCTGTCAGTTGGGATGATTAAACATGGTGATTTTCTATAGTTATGTTAGTTTACCAGAGGGTACTTACGTTTTCCCTAATAATGAACAACCCACTAAAAAAACATACGTAAGACAACTGTTGTTACTGCAGTTGAACTGTGGGTCTTATTCATTTGGAACCAATCTGAGAGAATATCATTTGGAATATATCATCCAGCAGTACTAACTTTGTTGTAATCCATCTATATTACCCGCAAATGAAATGTATATTTGATTTTATATGTCTATATGTATTATTTATAGATATATATGATTATCAACAACATAAAACAACATCAACAGAGTCGCTGAACCCAAGTCCTTCAGTCAGCAAAAATGCCATCAGAATTCCAAAAAGGATCGTTTTTCCTGGGGGTTCCCCATGGGTTTTTACATATCTGGCTGAATTACCCGGCCTGGTCAACTGTCACAGTTTGCGAACTGGAAAGATCCACCATGCTATCAATGGGAAAATCCACGACGTTTCGACTGGGCCATGTTCAAGTTCGCAAACTGTGAACGTTTACCAGAGGGTAAAATAGTTCACAAACCTGAAAATAGATCCCCATGGATCCATGGCCATCTGAGAAGGTACATACAAAAAAGCCTCCAAATTTAATCGTACGTTATACCCCTTAAACCCACTTCCTAAGACAGAAGGTACGGTACCTGGATCCATAGGACATGAACATAGCTAAAATGTTTGACCATGGGACATGATTCCCCTTAATAAAAGCCATCGTTTGGCGTCACTAGGTGAGGTCATCAAATTCATCCAGAATCATCTGGTGATTATATCCCATGAAATATCCCCAAGTATATCTCAGTAAGTTCCCTTTAAAAGGCCTCAAAAATCCCCATTTTCCCCCGAAATCGGGAACCCCAAAAGCCATTGCCATCCGCCCGACCCGACCCGGCGATGCACCTTTTCCTTCACCGCATGGACCGATTGCACCGCACAGATGGGTCCACTGAGCGGCACGAAGACCGAGTTGTTGGCCTCGGATGGGGACAGCTTCTGATAGCGAAGGAGCATGATGTTTTTTTACCTATTGATATTACTATAAATATTAATATGGATAAATAGTTTTAAGATTATACTATACAATATTATGATATATATATATATATGTATACACTATTGATTACTATTGATTTTGCACTATGATTACAGTAATATTTGATTAATATTGCTATTAACTAATATTGATTACTATTATATACTGATAATACTGATGCTGCAATGCCATATTGATTAATAATAGGAATGATCAATATGATTACTATTAATATCATTACCATCTATTTTATGCCCTAGTGCTCCAATTTTTCTGAGAACGATTACGATCAATATGATGAATCAGTACTGCTATCAAGATTATCAATCATTACTATGTAATAGATTGTGGATAGACAAAACTGTGGATGAAGCATCTACCAACTGTAAATCGTGGATAATGATGGGATTGTAATTTGACAATAATGGGATTGCAATTGGATGATTGGAAAGTATAAAGCACGGTGAATTCATGGACAAAATTGGGATTTGTAATGGTATAAAGCATCTACCAACTGCAGGATTTTGCAACCATCCACAGTAATAGTTAACGTTTCTGGTGAAATTGGAGGAATTTGGAGAACATGATTTAAGTCAAGTGAGCCATAGAAAATATCCTTATCCCATCTCATTATACTAGTTACTAGTTGGTTGATAGGTTTCCCTACTATGGCAATCATAATCCCCAGTAAACCAGGTAGTATAATCTCCTATAGCAATCAATTAACCAGGGTATTTTAAATGGCTCAAGTATCTCGCAGAGGTACATATAAACGGGTAGCCAACGGGGTCATAGCTAACATAGCTAGGAAGGTGAATGTTCATCGCCAAATCATGGAGATGTTCCAGCCATTTCAGGAAGGTGAAAATAGCAATGGAAAAAACACGAACTATCATCTGGCTATGACGAACAAACAGTTCGCCATGGAAAGATCCACCATGCAAACAAAAATGGGTAAACCATGGTAAACCATGGTAAACCATGGTAAACCATGGTAAACCATGGTAAACCAGGGTAAACCATGGTAAACCAGGGTAAACCATCTATTTCGATTAGGGCCATGGCTTCCATGGCGAAGTGTGAATGTCATAACCAGGTTACATGGACTATGAAATAGCAGTGGTATCTATCCAGATCCGCAGCGAAGTGGCGTTGGAATCTTGCCAGGAATGGACAGAAATTGAGCAGTTGGTTGAAATAAATCCCTCTATCATTCCATTGAAAATTCCTGGTTGGTTAAAAAAGGGAGAAATCCCGTTCTTGGATGATTCGAATCCCCGATTTTTAGGGTATATAGTATAACCCCCGAACTCATCAACCCTGCCAGGGGTAGGTTTGGCAGCCACTCATTTGAGACACGTTTGGTGATGGTTCCCCTAGTCATGTTTGAGTTTTTAAAGCCCCATTGGCCCATAGACATCCCACCAGACATATCCCTCCCAGACCCCACCTTGATCTCAGTGACATGTTGCCGAATACCCAGCAAGTGAATGGGAATCAATTATTAGCAATCCAATCTTACAGCATATATAATAATATTATTATTATATATATATATGTATAATATATATATATATTGATGTACATGGGGGGATCTTGAAATGGGGAATCCCCAAAACCGTATAGATTTCAATACTCAAGTGGTCATCCAAGACTTGGATGATTTGTTGGTACCATCCAAAAGACGGCATGACCCATCACCATTTCTCAGTCATCTACCCAGTGATATTCGATTGCATGAGATTCTCCAAAAACTACTCAAAACAGATGGTTAATTATTCCGAGTTATAGCCCAAAATTTCATGAAAATTTAGAAACCACATTTTCATACATTTTCCCCCATTTGAAATTGGCATTCCGCGACCCCTCTGGACCCATCTATTCCCAGCTTTCAGCAGCGCGGAACCTGGTAGAAGATGGGCACCGCGACAATTTGCGTCTTCACCTTAAGGATTTGCGAACAAGGCCACCCCACGAAATGGGAAACATGAAGAAAACCTGTGGATTTAGTGGATTTACCTGGAAAAATTGGAATTTAGATGGATTTAGTGACAACTAACCTAGATGTGCAAAACCTATGGGTCTCCGTTGGGAAAATGATTTACAAATGGTGGATTTTCCAGATTGATCTTCATTTACAGGTAGATAAACTGACTCAGCAAATCAAAGGCGTCATGATGGAGGCTCTATTTTTGATGCTGACATCTTGGATTGAAGCTAGTGAGATGATGATGATCATGGTAAAGCACCATATCTTGTGGTCTCAATCCCCAAATTCAGTGGTTCTTGACCCAATCATTCTCCCTGTACACTGTATCCACCGGTTGCGTGTGAAATTCCCAACTTTCATTGGGTTCATCAAGGAAACAATGTTTATGACCTAAATCATGTGAAATCTCCATATTTGATTGGTTGAATCCAATGACTGTCCCATATTGTCCCAATGTTTCATGCACTATCAGTGAAAAATCCCAGTTTCTGAGTTTCTGATGATGTTTTCACTGGATTGGTTTAGTCGGGAAAATCTTAACCGGAAACCCATGGGTTTTTACCATCAAATTGGCTGGGCTTTCCGGTTCAAATTTTCCCATCCAATTCGATGTTTACCAGAATTTCAGCTTGAATATCGCAGTGATGGGTGAACTTCTCAGGTCATCCAGGTCACTTGCGGCACTTGTGGCACTTGCTTTCGCACGGGGGCGGGTGGCGGTGTCGGCACGGTCGGTACCGTCGATGTGGCCGGCTTGGCTACCGACAGCGCCACGGGAAGATCCTTGGCACCTTGGTCCACAAGATTGGAGTCAACGAACAAATAGGGTTGATGGGATAAACCATGAATAATTGATAATAGAAGAAACCCTGAGACAGCTCCAGCCACCTTCTGAGACTGTATTTTGGGATAGTTTTTGGGCTTCAAACACCTTCTCAGAAAGTGTTTGGGGCACTAGGGAATCATTAAACATCCTATTCTGAGATATTCGACCAATGAACGGGATGTTCATGGGATGGTCCTGGGATTATTGTATATAGATGTACCCTCTGGTTATGTCAAAATAGCTATTGGAAATGGCCATTTATAGTTGATTTATCCATTAAAAATTGTGATTTTCCATAGCTATGTTAGTTTACCAGAGGGTATATAGATCAATAAAAGATGAGTTTTCCTGAAAATAGGGCACCCCCAATAGCCACTGGATTATAATCGATATCCCCATTAAGATTGTGATTTGGAGGGTATAATATCCCAATTTTCAGACATCCATATTCATGGGATATAATATGTAGGATGTTGTTTGACATCAACTCTATTTGTTCTTCCTGGGATGTTATTTGATATAAACTAATTCTAAGAGATATCCACAAACAGGCTTAATTGTAGTGGATATTCTCATCAACGGTAAGTGTTTCATCAACCCGGTTATCATATAGTATCAATAACATGGGACACTGAGTAAAAGGATTGGTGGGACATTGGCAAATATCAATTTAAACCATCAATACTACCGTAGATGGACGAATTATTCAAACCCTTGTAATCCAATAACCCCCCGCACCCCCAATTACAACGTTGTTTTTTTGGTTTGGTTCGCTCCTTCGAATGGACGAAATAAATCAAACCCTAAGATCAGGAACAAAGATACGAAACCACAACGTTGAAATTTGGGGGGGACAGGGGGTAGCCTACAACTCATGGATGCGGGGTTTGAATAATTTGTCCATCTACTGTAGGTAATTAATTTTACCATCAATAGTAATACTACCACATATTCAACGATCAAATGGATATTCATGTGTTACAGTATTTGGAATTTTGTTTGATATAAGCTCTATTTGTTCTTCCTGGGATATTAATTGTTTGTTTGACATACACCAATTTAGAAACTAATTCCAAGTTCCAGATACTAAATAATGGCAAATGAATGTGATATTCCCGGGATACAATAGATCAATATAGGAAACAATTCGTGGATACTAATGGTATATATATATATGTATATATATATATATGAAAAACCGGATGGGTGAGGTATTATATATATATGGAGCTACAGAGAATATAGAGGGTATGTATGTATGCATGCATGCATGCATGCATGCATGCATGGAGGGAGGGAGGGATGGATGGATGGATGGAAGGATGGATGGATGTATATATATATGTGCACAATATACATGGGGGAATATGTGAGGAATATGCGGTGAATATATGAGATAAAAGTTTTAAATATGAAAGAATCATCAAACAAACATATACAGTACACACACATATATATATATATATACAAATATATATATATATACAAATATATATATATATATACAAATATATACAAATACATGGGATTACTGGGGATAAATGCTGAACTTCTGGGATAAATGCTGAACTTATATGAATCATGAAGGATGGCTGACCGTTTTGACCTATGAGTTCGACGAACAGTGGAGATTTCACCGTCGGGAGATCTGGGAAGACTTGTTCCAGTTCGCCATGGAAAACCAGCATTTTTTCATAGGTAAATCAACTATAAATAGCCATTTTCAATAGCTATGTTAAATTACCAGAGGGTAAACCATCTATTTCTATGGGTCATTTCAACATTATCTGGTTGATGTTGATGTTGACTGGAAATAACATGATATTTCACCACTCATGGATGTAAGATGATGTAAGGGTGTATCATGAAATGATACAACCAATCAAGAGGGATTTAACAAGAACGAGTGTACTACAAAGATATTGTGGCATGCTACGGGGGATACAATAATTTAAATAACTAAATATTTCATCATTTGATATAATCAATGGATATGAATGGGATACTTTTTTTTAAAAAGTCATCCCTAAGTCACCAGCCTGAAGAGTAGATTGAACTCTTCATAACTCTTCAATCGTGATCCTTTCGTTCCATATTTAGCACATCGATGTCGGAAGGTCCAAAACTAGGCAAAATGGATGCCTTCAAGGGAGCAATCTTTGACTCTCATGATTTCTAGTCAATGGATGTAGCAACTTTGAAACCCCGAAATGGATCTGACTCAAATGTGGGGAGATGGTCACCAGATGGTCAGGGTCTTTTTTGGAACGGGAGCACATTTTCTCAGTACTGCAAACAATAAAAAGTGTTTGGGTGCTCAATGATTTAACCCAACATACGCAACAATGATGATGGGAACATCATCAAGGATCACATGGATTCTGATGAGTAAGAATGGTAGTTAGTTCCCCCATGAGCTAAGCATAAACAAACATCGCGGCCTTATTGTGGTCATTGACCACTTACAAGCTCGGATGATCCGAAATAATGATGAGGACCGGATATGACCGAATTTACCCTCTGGTGATCAAATAGTTCGATGATTTTCCCAGTTACCCTCTGGTAAACTAACATAACTATGGAAAATCACCATTTTTAATAGGTAAATCAACTATAAATAGCCATTTTCAATAGCTATGTTAAATTACCAGAGGGAATAAATATCGACTATATTCCAACCAGCCCCGTTTGACGACAGCGGAGGGTGCCATCACCTTTCTCTCACTGCCGAGATACGATGGCTAGACGCGTTGCCTTGCTGCCACGAGGTGTTTGAAAAGGTGCAATGTGGGAAACCCAACCATAAACGAACCATTTGAGGATGATAGTTACAACGTGAGGCCCCACAGTTATAAGTTGGTTTATAAGCCCCAGTAACTATAGTTATAAGTACCATAAACCATAGTTATTGGAGTTATAAACTAACTTAGCTATCTTGGGGGCCTCACATTAAACCATAAACGAACCATTTGAGGATGCTAGTTAACCCATGTTAACTAACCCATAAAAATGGCGATTCTGGGGATACATTAAGGCATTGGCTGAATCCCACATTAGCATTCTTTCAAAATGTACATGTAGACATGACAGTCACAAGCTAAATAGAGTGGCGACAGTCAACCAAGCATTGCCCATCTTAGATACCCTTGCATTGCTTCTTTCATTGGATTGGATTAAGGGAAAACCTACAGGAAACCCCTATAATATATATATATATACAGTATATATGTTTGGTGGTAAAAAATGATGGTTTCCCGTTAAGATGTTCCCTTAAACCAATCCATTCATTCTTCGTATATCCCCCATTATAATACCCAAATCCTACATCAAATAAAACAAATCCAAGGTTTATCCGGGTATCCCAATGATATTCCCATTGATTCTTGAAACATCTCAGTCATCTCCGCGCAAATTACAAAATCCCGGGCGGGCAATTGAGCAGTGTGAAAGAAACCCTTCGTCATTCCATTGCGCCGTTGGTTAGCAGAGATTCCAACATTATCTGGTTGGTGGTATACCTACCCCTCTGAAACATATGAAAGTCAGCTGGGATGATGACATTCCCAACTGAATGGACAAATAAAAATCATGTTCCAAACCACCAACCAGTTGTGGAAACTGATACATTAAACCCCAATATACTGGATAGAATCCCTAAACCAACCAGCCACCAGTGGAGGTTTAGCAGCCTCTCAAATATTCATTGAACTCCCATGAAAAAATTGTCCGATGATTCAGCCCATTGACCCATAGTATACCCATTATACATCATTATATCACCATTTTCGGGTGGAAAAAACATCTAAATCAAGATTTGGCCAAAAAAAAATCGTTCGATTGGGATCAAGTCGATTGGTTTTTTATCCCCAAAACAGGAGGTGTCATGAAATAGGGCTACCCCGAAATCATCCATTTTAGGCTTTGGGACTTTCCATGACATCAACCATCCAGCGATCTATCGGGGTACCCCCATGACTATGGCAACACTGATGTATTCCAAAGATTTGCCCATCCCATTAGCAAGTTCAGGTGGATGGTAAACACACCACACAAATATGCGGATTATTTTTGGGGATGGTTTATAAAATTAAAAACATGTCACAACATCAGCATTTTCATTGGGTTTATGGCACTGGATGATTACTGCTTTCGAAAAAGTATCATCCCTCAAAGCCATCCAAAGCCGGCATAGCTGGATGATGCTGGATATGCTGGTACCATTCCTATGCTGTTTTTTCATTACGCTAACTTGACCCATCCCCACACTCGATCCCATCTGGATGATCTGGCAATGGCGGATGGTTTCCCCCACAGCACTTACCCAAGTTGATCCAGTCGTACCTTCTGAAAGGAAGTGTTTAAGGGGTATAATTTACTATAATTTGGAGGCTTAAGGCTTAAGTATGTACCTTCTCAGACAGTGTTTGGATCCATAGGGTATATATATATATATGTATATTATACATATATATATATATAACTTGACCCACCCCCACATTCTCATGATCTCTGGATGATGTGTTCGGATTTGACCACAGCACTTCCCAAACCCCCCCTCCCAGCCACACGCCTTTGGTCTCGTTCTTTTGGCGACGCTTCGGCTTTTCCAGCTGGGTTTCCATGACCTGCCGGATGAATTGGGAGATTTGATCAGGAGAAACATGGCTGCACCCTGGGTCAACACAGCACGGATTGAGTGCTAGGGAAACAAGCTGTAGGGATTTTTCGGTGCATCTGAAAATGAGACAAATGAGTATAGCACCAGAATTGCCATGTTTTTTGATGACTTACCAAGGTTTTGGAATGGAGCGCCCTTAAATGGTGAGTCAGAAAATGATGGCTGCGATGTTTTACAAAAAAAATCGGGATTTGAAGAGATAAACACCTTTTTTTTGGTTAAAACAATGCCATCTGCACCATCCCCCAGTCACCATTGTAACATAGGTGGTGTATATATATATATATACCATTCCCAGGAAAATGGGTGGTTTTTACATGGCATTGTTTTCACATTAGTGGATTGAGCCGTTCATCCCAAGATTCTGGGCTGTGGAGCCACAGTGTCAGCTCAAAGCTCCATGACTTGACGGTGATGATTTGGAGGATTCCCGGGTACCCCCCATGATTTTAGGAAACCTCCACATACAGTTCCTGATATTTCCTGATAAACCTCTTGATCCCTGATTTTGGGGATCCAAGCAGATCAGATCTACCTTCATCTATGAAGGACCTACCGTGACGTCATGGGTGGATTCTTCCAAAATCTCGACGGACATCCATGTGTCTTGTGATGTTTACCTCCCGGGGTCTCCGATGTTGCTTTTCAGACCTAGAGCCATTCTTTTGTGAATTTAATTGCCATGTATTTTTCTATTTTGGCTGGTCAAAAATCCACACTTTTCCTCCTGTTTTTTTCAGATGCCACGGTCAACCTGCCAAGGTCTTGATTGCTCAGCCAAACCAATCTGTTGTGGGTTAGAATCCTGTTAGTTGGTTGAATCTCCATTGTTTGGTTGCAGTAAGTGTCCCATAATCCCCAATGTTTCTAAGATAAATCATACAAATCATACTGTTTGGGCAACGTTCACTCACTTTAAAATCCCAAGGTTTACACATCAAATTTCATGTTAAATCCTCATCTTTGTAGGTTAAAACCCAGGTCATTTCCCACACATTTCCCCATGCGACAGGCTGACCCGACCTTGAATTGCTCCATCGCCTCATCAAACTCCTGGTGATATCTCGGAAAAGGTGATGGCTGCACCATATAACAATACATGAAAAAAACAGAAATATAAGGTTTGTATATGTTTAATCAGGTACCGTATATAATGGGATTTCATTGCGTATAAGTACCTAGACTTCCAAATACACCCTTAAAAAGATGGTATGTTGGTACTTTTTAAATCTTTTAAAGTACCAAAATAATGGGGCTATTATTGGTGATGTGTCTCCAAATTCTTAGTGACCAAGCTGCATCTTTGGATGCTCGATCTCTGTGACCAAGCTGCACCGCCAATCTGGCCACAATAAGCATAACCTTTATATATGGTGTCAACAAACAGTATATTAGGTGTCACTTCTATGTCTACATATATATATACACACCATATTATTATTATTGTTATTACAGTATATATATATACCCCTCCAAACTTTAAGAATTGGGAAAAAATGCAAACCCTCAACATCGCCAATCTTTGATAGCCTGCATGAGTTTAAAGACATGTTACCTTTCGGTAATCAAACGTGGCGTGCTGAACCTTCATGTGCAGAGGACTTTCCATATGTTCCCATCGAGGCCTCGATTTATATGGGATTTTCTATTGCCACATTTGATCACCGAAGGTAATTAATATCTCAATTTGTGTCAAAAGGTTGTGCTAAACTACCCTGCCGGTCTGCCCAGTCAAGGAGTCCTCCTTGTTGCAAATCGCTCCAAGCCTCAGAAAGCTGCTGGGTGACACCCAAAATCATCATGAAACTATCAGCTGGGAAAGACAGAACTGTACTTACCATCTGGTAATTTCTTCCATAGCTATTGAACATGGTCCATTTATATCGTGCGATGATTTAGCTATAAAAAAAACATCGTGATTTTCCAGTTTGCAAACTGGCACCCTCTGGTAAACTGTCACATAACTATGGAAAATCACCATTTTAAATAGGTAAATCAACTATGTCTATGGTCACTTTCAATAGCTATGTAACAAATCACCAGAGGGTATATCCATCAATATCCCAGTATTATCCCATCATTATCCCAGCAAATCATCCCATCATTAAACCATATTAAACCATAGTTAGTAAACCACGGTAAAACCATATAAAACCATATATTAAATCCAAAAAAACCCTATATATAAAACCATATTGAACCATAGTACACCCATTAAACCTCCATTAGTTTACCAGAAGGTAAATTACCAGAGGCTACCCTTCATCGCTGAACCATCATGGCCCTGTGGCGCCATTTCCGTGCCCCAAGCGATCAAAAAGGGATGGAGATCAGAGGGATGAGGGGCCCATGTAAGGGATATGGCTATGTATATATGTATAATAAGTATAATCTATATCATATATAGTATATACATATAGATTATAATATATATATATATATATATATTATATTATATTATATATATATTAAATATATTAAATATACTAAATATATAGTTATATAACTATATATAACTAGAAATACCAACTACTCAAGATTTTGCTTTGCATACTCCAGCATAGCTTTGCAAGTTCCTCAAGTTCTGGCTAGTTATCCCATAGGAATCCGGGCTCGTCATATGGGATGATGGTGGATGGTCATGGTCATTTAAAAAATCACTCGTCACCATTCTCTGAATCCCAATGACAAATCTGTGGGCCGTCAACCAAGAATTTTGTGGCAAAAAAAGGTCAAACATGTCAAAATGTCAAAGTTGCTTCCAGGTCAACCATTCGAACGACATATTTTGACATATTTTGACCATCCATCACCGGCAAAAACTGCTGGGCCTCCCTGACTTCTTGTGAAGGCGCTGACGCACGCGGCGCTTCACGGCGCGGTTCGGAGCAGTCTGGGAGGCTTGAAGAGCCTCGACAGCAGTACTGGCGAAGCGGTGGCGAAGCGTGCGGTGTTGAGCTTATCGAAGCGGTCCTATAACTTGGTTTATTCGTTGTTAGGTCCTGTAATATATACCATAGTTGAATGCTACTATAAAAATAAAAAATAGTATATAAATAACAATACAATGCAATGTAAAATAAAAAAGGAAAAAACATTATCTTATAGAATATAATATTGGTCAATTGATTTCGGGATTTTGCAGCATTGAATAAACACTCCAGTTGGAATGCGCGAAGAAAGTGGATTAACTTGGAGTTGGAATGGGATCTTACAGGATTCATGAGATAATGTTTCATTTGGTCAATAAACCTTCCAAATCCTTCCAAATTTCTGGGTAAAATAATATTTCACTAACCTGAATTAAGGCCCATTTGGGGATGATTTCCCTTATCAACTATGATTGCAGTGAGGTCGCAGTGAGGTCGTTATAATTTACCCAGAAATTTCACTGGTGACAATATACATGAATATTGTACAATACCCTCCAGGATGTGAACATGAAAAAGCCAGCAATTTTTAGCCAATTTTCCAGGGGAAACAACGAAACAACGTGGATTTCCAGATCCCATGAGCTTCATGTATGGCTCCGTTTGGGTGATTTTGGGTAAATGCCGAGAACAGTGAATCTTCGACGCATGGATCATTGTGGTATAATTGATTATACATGTTATATATATATATATATGGTTGGTGGTTTCAACCCCTCTGAAACATATGAAAGTCAGTTGGGATGATAAAATTCCCAATGTATGGAAAATAATCCAAATGTTCCAAACCACCAACCAGATACCTGTTGTATACATATGATGGATGATAGCTGCGTGATATTTAGAAATATTATACGTTGGCCATGGTATACCATCAATTGTCAGGTGATGTCAGATGTTTTTTCTAGCTCTGCACCTGCATCAGGAAATATCGTCGAGAGGGATGATGTCCTCCTAGCTGTTTCATAAGCGTCCACAGTAATGTGATTCGGTGGATCAAATCCCTCGAGCTTCCATATAATGTTGGTTCATGGATAGCTTTGGGACAGTTCAGTTTGCATCCTCAAACATATTTGCCTTATTTTCAGACATTGGCAATGGGGAAAGCATCGAAGTTTGCATGGTAGATGTTCCAGCTATTCAGGCCCTCAGGGCAAATTTGCTTGTCTCATGGCTAACCTTAGATTTTCATAACTTGTGGCTAACCATTCATAAACACAAGTACCCTCTGGTAATTTCTTACATAGCTATTGAAAATGACCATAGAATCTATGTTGATTTTCCCAGAATGCAATTCATAGCATGATGCTTTTCCCATCAGTTTTTTTGTGAAGGTTTACCAGAGGGTACATGGTCCTACGGTTCCACGGGTTCCATTTGGCGGTTGGACCCTTGTGGAACTGCACCCCCAAGTACTACGGTGGATGGGCCAGCGAAATCCTGCACCACCAATTTGGGATGGTTGAAACCCTAGAAATAATGGGATTAACCAGCGTTTTCAACTGGTGCAGGATTTCGCAACCATCCACAGTATCAAGTATTCCTCTTTTTTTGCCTCTATCAAATTGGCTCAAAATTCACCCATTCACCTCCCAATCCCAAGCCTCGCAACCCTGTGGTGATAGGTGATAGCCCGTGACCATCATGTGACCAATGGTCTAAAACTTCACCCCTTTCCCCAATCTTAACTGAACCAGTCAATATACCTCTATCCCATCTCAGTGTACTGTTGGTTGATAGGTTTCCCTACTATAGCTTATGATCCCCAGTAAATTAGGTATACTATAAGTCCCTATAGATCCCTATAGTAATAATCAACGAGGGACATGTTTAATCAATGGGAAATTCAGGATTCTAAAATGGAGGTACTAACTTAGTACCGTAGAAGGCCATATGAATTGTGGGGACCCTGAAAAATAGGCCTGAGAAATATGCCTTATATATGCTATGTACCTCCAACAAATCGGTGCCTGTTGCATGGCCATTGATAAAAATTTCTGGTTGCCATGGATACCCCCACGCGCACCTGAACCAGCAGCTCATGGACTGACGTAGCATCCTGTGAAACCCCCCAGAACTGATGTCACCAATAACCTTGGAAAATATGATGCAAAACTCATATCATCTCATGACTTTTGCAATCCTGGTTTTGATATGTTTTAACGCATCTGGTGATATAACCTGGTTGGTTAGAACAATTCGAACCGCAGCGAGTTTGCGTGATTGTTGTTCAACCTGGTTCAAACTCATAGACACTCTTGATCACCAAAAACATATTGACGAAGATATAGTCCGACTGGAATCTGTAAAGAAATGTTCTACAGTGAGTCATGGATGCGAATAGAAAAGGAAATCGCACCGTCTTGAAGTCCCGAAAACTGGATGGATATTCGATGACATGGACTATGGGTCTGTCTGAGAATGGGGATACCCACAAATGGACTTAAAAATGGATGGATAAATCATTGATTTTTGGGTAATGAATCCTATTTTCGGACAAATACCATACTAGGTTATATTTCTATCTAGTGATGGTTGTACATTTATCTTGCATTTTTTTTGGCAAGTGGTTGATACCCATGGCTATCTGTTCGATTCCGATGCCTAGAATGATCTTCCAACCCAGCCAGTTTGCATACACATATCTGTTAGCTATTCCATGTCTGTTGGCTGAATTTTGTTGGATAGGAAAACACAAGGATCATTTCAGTGTTTATACACCTAATGTTTACAGTAATTTGTTCCATAACATGCCGGACAAATATGTTAGTTTACATGCTAAACGATGTTATGTATATATATATATACATATGTTGTATGTTATATATATATATAAGAGTTTATATTAAATATTGAATATTATATATTATACATTCAAGAAATATACATCATATATCAAAAATTAAATATTATATATTAATATATTATATTTTTAAACTATGTATTATATTATATTATTTATATAAACATTCAAACATTCTGTAGCATCAAACCCTCAACCTGGTCGTTGTTTTTTTCTCTTGAAACCAACAGCACATGAATTGGTGAGGTCAACCAACGACAAAGCTGGATCACATGTTGATATCATCAACATCTATGTGTTACACGTTGCTGGATCTAACATTAACTAACAAGCTGGTTGGTGGTTTCAACCCCCCTGAAAAAAAAATAGTCAGATTGGATCATCATCCCAACTATTGGGGAAAATAAAAAATGTTCCAAACCACCAACCAGCAAGTATCTGTTTAGCTCTGTGTATTTATTTCATGGCCATATACTGGAGGACAGACCCTTATTGAGTAAATATATCCAAATAGTAAGGGTCCGTCCGACATAACAGAAAAAAGTAAATATATGTAAATATGATTATTATCATATTATGATTTTACCATTGTTACTATTGTTTTTACTAATATTGTTGTCATTATTTTTATCAGGATTATTATCCGCTGTGTTGTTATCATTATTGGATATTATTGGTATTAGTATGGTATTAGTATGGTATTAGTATGGTATTAGTATCATTGTTGTTTTCGCTATTACTATACAATACTGTACATATATACATATATACATATATAATATATAATAATAATTATTGTGCATAAGCCTTTGATAGGTTTGGGTGACATTGAGTTGCTAATGACCAAAAAGAAACGAAGTTCAACGGTTTTCAAAATCGGGGTACGACTACACAACCAATGGTTTTCCCATGGTGTTCCCATGTTTCCGCATCAAACATCAGCATATATCAGCATTGCCCACTGAAAATTCACTGCGTACCCGTCCAAAAACGTGTTTCCCGTTCAAAATCACCATGTTCCCATTAAACATCACCATGTTTATTTTACATCACCAGATTCCGAATAAATATAACCATTTTCCCAAGTAAAATCACCATTTCCCCAAGTAAAATCACCATTTTCCCATGGATTTTCGGGGTTCTCCACCTTCTCTTCAGTCACTTGTGGAGCTGTCTTGGGGAGCTCCAGAGGTCGAGTGCCTAGGAAATTCAAGGAAATTCCAAAAGGAAGGACAGCTTGGAAGTAGGTTTAATTGGTTTATATTGGATAAGTAGGTTGGAAGTAGGTTTAATGATATTTGGGTTGGATATTTGTAACTGAAAATTGGGTTTATATTTGTACTGTCATGGCCCAGCGCTTAGAATATTTAAAAAAAAAAACACACTTAGAATGTGTAATTGAAAATTGATGATAAGTGTCATAGATTTGCTAGTAACGCTTAGTGCCTCCCAAAAAAAGGAAGAAATTGGGAAAAAAAACATGATGTTCAAACAGTGTGAAATTGAAACTTTTCTGAATCTGCAATCGTTATTGGGGGTGAATTTAGGTCGATAGCAAACGTCTTTCGAAAGTATCCATCCAAGCTGGAACCCCATAGCAGTCATTGCTTCATGGAGCCCCATAGCTATGGCCGGATTAATATGGATACCCTTTGGTAATTTAACATCGCTATGGATAATTCATCAAAAAAAAACGTTTTTTTCTACGTACATCATCTATACGCCATCCATACCCTAATTTCAGCCCACCCAAAAGGTGACCGGCACAAGGATAGCAGCTTAGGATTCGCCCTTCTTGACTCATATCCCCGAGATTCCTGTTTGGTTAAAACTGGTTAGTACGTATCCTCACTAGCAAAAGATCAACGTCCTAAAGTAACCATCTACGTTTGGCCTGGATATCTTAGCATAGATCTTGTATGGACGAAATAATGGGAGATTAAATCTGGCAATTGGGAGTACCATGTTTCCACGCAAACCCAGATCTCAGATCTATGTTAATTTTCTAAATCAACCTTGATCACTTGATTCCCTTCAAAAAAGATCTGAACTGGTTAGCATGTGACTTACATGGTTTTCTGCTGATTTGTACGTTGAGCACTGCTCATGCACTCCTCATATGCTAGCAATCCATATGTTAAAAAAAAATATTGATAGCTGCATTATGTTTGAACATTTCGTACTATGGCCACTACACTCCACCCATTCTGGGCCATATGTAAAAAAATATATATAATTTTCCGTTACTTTCTACGACAAGTTTAAGCTACAATAATTTATCGGGGTTGACACGGTTCATGATTTCACCGCCATTGTGCCAGTGCTTGTTTGTTCGTTTTGAAACCCCATTACCTATGGACATATGGATATATATATATTATATTATTATTATTATTGTTGTTATATATTTTTAGCTATTTATACATATTCTGCAATGATATGTGTATATATAATTGTATCAACTATAAAACCAACAGTTCTCGGACTTACAAACTGACCTGGCTAAGATACATCAACTATACATGCCTGTTTTTTTAATTAATGAGAAATATGTATTTCCCTTTGTTGAAACACTACTAGCTATTCCAACTTAGCGATTTAGTTTACTGCGACACCAGATCCCCTTGATTTTCCCGTCGGTCCAACAGAGTTCCCGACTGGCCAAGGGAGCGTTGAAGGTTCCAAGGCACATTGTCCTCACTTTGAATGGCGTGGGCCCAACAAACAGCGGATGGAAAAACCGTAGAAACAGGGGAAAACCCATGGGGAAAATTGACAACAACAGGGAAGCAAACCAGGCTGGAGGTGTTTCACAAAGTGAACATATTATCAAAGGAAGTGTAATTCGAAAACGGCCGAGTTACGGACAAATGTCCCGGAGCAGTCTTTTCTTCATGTCATCAAGTGATCATTATACCATTGTCACGTCATCATGTGTTCATCATGCCAACAAGCAAGAAAGTGAGCAAGAGCAGTTCGCATGTGGGACCAGTAGAGGAGTCCGGAGCGCATGAATTCACGGATGAACACGCTTTCGGGCGCAAAACCCTGTTTTTACGGGCAATGTGGTTTCAGGGTCGCCGAAGTAAGGTCTCTGTTTCCGCAATTGCGTGCCTCGATCTGGGAAAGTTGTCGACAAAAAGTGCACAGGACTGTGGTGAGAGCTCGATTTGCATTCAAAATCGCACAAACATGGTGTGATCGGAGCACTTTTGGATGATGCAAAACGTGCACCAGACTGTCCGTAGCGAGGGATTGATTTCATATAAACACTAAAAAACCTGGCGTGCTCGGAGCAGCGCGGAACTCACTGTTGACGCTGTGCGCCCGTTGGTTGATTTGGTGCGGCGCTCCTGTTTTGCGGGCTTGCAACCGGCTGGGACACAACGCATTGGCACGGCTGCCTGCAGCAAAGCATGAGTCATCCTGCGACGCTCCTCAGGATTGCAGCGGGGTTGCAGCTGGAGGTGTTGAAACGCATTGTTTAACAGCTGCGGAGAAGCATTGGGTTGCAGAAGCTACACAAGAGCTAGCTGGGAGGCAGCTCAGAGCAGAAGTAGCCCAGATAAGTGGCTGCTTAGAGAAGAAGTAGCTGAGAGAAGAGGTGCCTCAGCAAAGAGGTCGCTCAGTGAAGAAGTAGCTCAACAAAGAAATTCATTGGTTCGTTGGTTCATTGATTCCTTTATTCACTGATTCATTGATTGATATTGGTTCATCGGTTCATTGGTTCATTGATTCACTCATTTAATAATTGGTTCATTGATTCACTGACTCACGGATTCACTGAGTCATTGATTCACTGAATCATCGTCTCACTGATTCGTCGGTTCATGCTTCACTGATTCGCTGAACATCGCCGATTCATTGATTCCATCTACAGTACTCACTACTTCATTCATTAATTGATTCACTGATTCATTGCTTCATTGATTCATCTGCTCACTAAATCAGTCATGATTGATTCATTCTTCCACTGAATCATGGATTCGAATAATCGGTTCATTGATTCCTTGATTCCTTTATTCACTGATTTATATTGGTTCATCGGTTCATTGGTTCATCGGTTCGTTCACTCAGTTGTGCACAGATTCTTCCATGTCATTCATTGGCATCTAAACCACCGTTTCCTCATTCGTTGATGCATCTCACAACTTCAACCGCTCATAGCTTCTGCATCTCAAAAACGTTCCTAAAGGCTATTGATTTCTTATAGTATCTTATAGTCATGTCCTATTTTCGAAACTTCCGCCCCGGCGCGTGCCCGGCACTATCTGGTATAAGTCCTACAGGTCTGTTATTTGGGGAAGCTGTGGCTATGCCTGAATTTTGGAAAAACACACACAGCCATTTTTGAACCACATCTGTAGGAGATGCACAGTAGGGGAATGGATTTATATATATCATTTATCATGATTTATCATGATTTATCACCAGTAGCTCAAACCAGGACTCCAGTGATCTCCAGTGATCTCCAATGATCTCCAATGATCTCCAATGATTTCCAGGCATGGTAAAATTCGTGAAATGGACAATGACAACAGCTGACTGGAAACGACTCGAATTCCACCAAGCTGCTTTCGGCAGCGACGGAACCGGATGGCACCGGATGGGGCGAACCGCGAAAAGCCAGGAAAGTAAGCCGGCTGCGGCACATAACGGATCACCGTTTTGAGAACATGTTTTCACGCTGTGAACTACCATGACATAGCATACCCCAACTGCATGATATCTGAGGCTTCACATCAATACATCTAGCAGGTGAAATCTGGAGGAACTGTCAATAGAAATCTATGGTAAGAAACCCATCTACAACAGATTTCGAAAACACCATAGAAAAATGAATCTTAGCCTGGCGTCCCTTGGTCTCCGCGTCTTTTGCGTGGCAGGCGTGGGACAATGTGCACCGCCAAGGGGTCGGATGTACGCCCTGGCGTCCCTTGGTCTCCGCGTCTTTTGCGTGGCAGGCGTGGGACAATGTGCATTGCCAAGGGCTCGGATGTACGCCCTGGCGTCCCTTGGTCTCCGCGTCTTTTGCGTGGCAGGCGTGGGACAATGTGCACCGCCAAGGGGTCGGATGTACGCCCTGGCGTCCCTTGGTCTCCGCGCCTTTTGCGTGGCAGGCATGGGACAATGTGCATTGCCAAGGGGTCGGATGTACTGCCAAGGGGTCGGATGTACGCCCTGGCGTCCCTTGACTCACTCACTCACTCATGCAGGATGGATGAGATCCCCAAAAGCATCAGTTCAAAACGGCCAAATCAATCTCTGGTTCGTCCCATCAATCCCCAAGGGAGGCATGCAAAATTGAGTCTTTTTGATTTTCCGCCAACAGATACAAAAGGTTAAAAAAGCACAAGTACTGTATCAATAATGTCCTTTTGGTAAAAATAGAGGGGCCAGTGACTGGTATACCATCTGTTAATCAACCAACCAATGGGAAAAGGACATCTATGTACTGTACTTTTATCTTCTTTGGGGGCTGCTATGGGGCGAAAAAATGATTCAGACTATGATCATGAATGATCCCGCAGCGTGAGCATCCCGTGCCACGCCCCAAGCCATGGCAAAAAAGTTGCCGGCTCGACCCACGAAGAAACACCTCGGCAGGAATCTCCCATCGAGTGAGAGCTAGAAAGCCACGAAATTCGATGGTTTGAACCCCCAATGAATGAGCATTTGACTCATGGCAAATATGCAAAACTTATGGTTCTTAAGTAACAATCATGGGCGTTTTGACTAGCAAATAATTCATTTAACTGCCAACAAAGACGATCGAACCAGGGTAACCAGACTTTTTGTTGGTGCATACAGTGCATACCACAAATGTGTTTCTAGATGTTGACGCATTGCCAAGTTACCTGCTTGGGTCTGATCTTTGGGCCACCTCGCTAGGAGCCGCTAGGTGCTCTCCGAGGCGTAGATCAGCTTGATTTCAGCGAAAGTCTAGTGGTTCTTATTGTTCCTTGCTGCTCACCATCCAATTGTTTAGGTGTTTCCAGTAAATTCTCCTGAAAAAATAGCATTGCAACTTGTGTCCCTGTGTACCTTGCAGCTTTTCACTTCAGCACGGTGCATTGTCATCATCCCAGAATTGAAGTAACGTCGACGTGGCCCCCTATTCTTCGATGGTGATTTCAATATATTGAAAATATATGGTACATTTCTGTAGATTTTCAGTTCAACAATGACTGGTTGGTGGTTTCAACCCCTCTGAAAAATATGAAAGTCAATGGGAAGGATTATCCCATATATTATGGAAAATAAAAGCCATGTTCCAAATCACCAACCCAGTGAGGCTTTCTTCAATGCATGACAGCATGACGGTGATTTCTCCATTCCTAGATCTGCGATCAGGCCGTGTAGGAAGCCGAAGGAGGCGATTGGCAGCGAAATGTGGAGCCGAACTAGTCGCTTACCCACAATGTTACGTACGTATAATTGGATAATTGCATATTCAATTAACTTATTTATATATATATATATTATATTACCCCATAGTTGATATGGGTCCCTGCAATAAACAGATCCAATATGATGCAATACTAAACCAGGGCTTCTAGTGCAAGATTACTTGATATCCGCTGATAATCTAACCTGCTGAAAAAAAATCGCGATTTTCAGTAGCGAAAACAAAAAACAAATGATTTTAATATCCGGTCACCTTTCATCGCCAGTGTAATGTGTACTCTCCTGAACTGCATCATGTCCTTGTTTTCTTTTGGGAGGGCAAGGCCAGGTATGCCTCAATTTGGATGGCCCATGACCAAATCTCTGGTCATCGGTCTGAATCGGTCACGGCTTTTGTCACGAATCTTTTCTGCATTGACCATCAGGCGGCCGGCTGGCCACAGACCTGTGCCGCAAGCCAAAAATACAATATATATATATATAACTGGGGGGCTGAAAATACAATATATTATATATTATATATGTGAATACTGAAACTGGGGGGCTGAAGTCGATACCGCGTCTGGTGCGTCACAGAAAAAATGAATAATTCGAATATGTTGACAGCAAGGGGAGATAGACAGACCGAACGGGTCAAACATATGCAACCATCGATTGGGATCCAGTTTGTATATCCATTTTTTCCACCATCCAGTGAGCCATGAAAATACCCCTATCCCATCCCAGTATACCACTATGGGGCATCATAATCTTCAATAATCCAGACTAGTATCAGTATAACCCCCCATATAACAATCAACATGGGTATACTAGATATAACTTTCATACTTCAAATATATTCTATTATATTCTATTGTTTAAAACATGTGCTTAAAGATACCCTCTGGTAAACTAACATAACTATGGGAAATCACCTTTTTCAATGGGTAAATCAACTATTTCCATGGCCATGTTCAATAGCTATGTTAAATTACCAAAGGGTATCATATATACTTATATCTTATATCCATGATATTCCAATTAAATCCCATGAAATCCCATTAAATCCCATTAATGTTAAATTACCAGAGGGTAGTTGTTGCAGGATTTTTTACACCTTCACCCTCTGAGAAATCACAGGCATTCCAGCCTGGACACCTCCAACCCTTGGAATTTGGGTGAAAAAATCATAAAAGATGTAATATCCCCCATCCTATATACAGGCAATATATACATATATATATATATAGATATGATAATATATATATATATAATGAATATGTATAAATATGATATGATAATATATATATATGACATGATACAATATAATATAGATATATATATATATATGTATTATATATAATGATATATTATGCATATATAATGATATAATTTACAACTATATATGATATAATATACCTATATATACTTTATATATTATGTATATATACATATGATATGATCTAATATATAATTGATTAAATATTATGTGTATATATATATATATATACATAATTCAATATTATGTGTAAATACAAATATACGTATATATATATATATATTATGATATAATATATATATCTATATATCATTACATATTATGTATATATATAAATATGATATGATATAATGTGTATATATAATAATATGTTATGCATATATATATGTATATATATATATATTCATAATACTGTACCGGTTTCATATATATATATATATTTATATATATATATTATAATTACATATTATGTATATATATATATGATATGATATAATGTATATATATAATTATATATTATGTATATATATTTATTCATGATACCAGGTTCATATTTATATCTAGGTATATTATCGAAGGAAGTTTAGAAGTCAAACTTCCGACAATATGGACAGATGAAAAGCAGAGCAGGGAAGAGGCAGAGAGAAGAGAAAGATTAGAAGAGAGAAGATCTGACTCTTTCAAAGAAGATGCAGAGCGAAAAGGTAAGAAAGTCGCGAAACACTGTGTTTTTCCAATGATTTGTGGCTCCGGAGAGTCGAAAAGTAGGCTCGCTAAAGCGGCGGGTGCGGAGCCAGCTGGCCAGATGAGAGATGAAAAATTGCACGCCGTTGTGGCGCGAAGCAAATTTCCAAGTCAAAATGTACAAAACACACCAGGTCCGGACCACTTTTGGAAGTTGGGATGTCGAAAAAGTGCACGCCGTTGTGGCGCGAAGCACATTTCCAAGTCAAAATGTACAAAACACCTCAGCGTCGGACCACTTTTGGAAGTTGAGATGTCAAAAAAGTGCACGCCGTTGTGGCGCGAAGCACATGTCGAAGTCAAAATGTACAAAACACCAGGGGTTCGGACCACTTTTGGAGGTTGCGATGTCGAAAAAGTGCACGCCGTTGTGGCGCGAAGCACATTTCCAAGTGAAAATGTAGAAAACACCTCAGTGTCGGACGACTTTTGGAAGTTGCGATGTCGAAAAAGTGCACGCCGTTGTGGCGCGAAGCACATTTCCAAGTCAAAATGTACAAAACTGACGGTCTCGGACCACTTTTGGAGGTTCCGATGTGGAAAAAGTGTCGAAAAAGTGCACGCCGTTGTGGCGCGAAGCACATTTCGAAGTCAAAAGTGTAAAAAACTGAGGGTTTTGAGCCTTTTTTGACGTGAAGATGTCGAAAAAGTAGACAATGATTAACTTAACTAACTTGACTAACTTAACTAACTTCACTAACTTAACTACCCTAACCTCGACAACAACAACAACAACAACAACAACAACAACAACAACAACACCAACCACAACAACCAACCACAACAACTACAACTACAACTACAATAGATCGATAGATGGAGAGAGAGATAGATAGATAGATAGATAGATAGATAGATAGATAGATAGATAGATAGATAGATAGATAGATAGATAGATAGATAGATAGCTAGATAGATAGATAGACAGACAGATAAATAGATAGAAAGAGAGGGAGAGATAGATAGATAGATAGATAGATAGATAGATAGATAGAAAGATAGATAGATAGATAGACAGGTAGACAGATAGACAGATAGACAGATAGATAGATGGATAGATAGACAGATAGACAGCTAGACAGATAAACAGATGAAAGAAAGAGAGGGAGATAGATAGATAGATAGATAGACAGACAGATAAATAGATAGAAAGAGAGAGAGATAGATAGATAGATAGATAGATAGATGGATAGATAGATAGATAGACAGGTAGACAGATAGACAGATAGATAGATAGATGGATAGATAGACAGATAGACAGCTAGACAGATAAACAGATGAAAGAAAGAGAGAGAGAGATAGATAGATAGATAGATAGACAGATAGATAGATAGATCAATAGATAGATAGATAGATAGATAGATAGATAGATAGATAGATAGATAGATAGATAGGTAGATAGATAGATAGATAGGTAATTAGATGAAAGAGAGAGAGAGATAGATAGATAGATCGATAGATAGATAGATAGATAAATAGGTAGACAGATAGATAGGTAATTAGATGAAAGAGAGAGAGAGAGATAGATAGATAGATCGATAGATAGATAGATAGATAAATAGGTAGACAGATAGATAGGTAGATAGATAGATAGAAAGTTACATAGATAGATAGACAGATCGATAGATAGATAGATAGGTAGATAGATACATAGATACATAGATACATAGATACATAGATAGATAGTCAGAGAAAGAGAGAGAAAGAGTGATAGAGATCAAGCACCTTTCGGTCCATCAGTGGATTCGCTCTGCCATCCCTGATTCACAACAACCAACCTCTCCTATAGGTTTCCTATTTTTGAAACTTCCGCCACCGCCTTGTGCGGTACTACTGGTAATTATGTATTATGTATATCTATATGACATGATATAATATATATATAATCATATATTATGTATATATATATATATTGGCCACCATCTCAAATGATGCTTTTTCATACTGCGTACACAACAAAACGCCAAATCTCTGCACGTCCCTGTCTGGACCTTTTGGCTCCACTAATTAGAGATGGCCACGTATTGATTGAAGGTTGTATGGGATATTTATGGCCAAAAAAAAATGACTGGGATGACTGGGATAACTGGGATATATGGGATATATGGAATATTTATGGATATTTATGGCCAACAAACATGAGTACAAGTTGTTTTTTTTTAGAATGGCATGGGGGTTGGTACTGCTAGAGGTCTATTTGGCCATGCACCCTAAGGGAACCCCATCAAAAACTCAACAGATACTAAAGTAAGCTAATAAAAAGCCATTGAAAAACCTATGGGGGTTTAGTGGGGAACTTTGGCTTTTGTTTGTTTTTGTCTTAGTTTTTTTTAGGTTTTATTTGGTTTTTGATGTGGGTGCAACCCATTCTTGGGAATTGGTTGGGAATTGTTTGGAAATCAGTTGGGGGTTCCTTGGATGTGCTTGGCCCATTTTCGGGAATTATTTAGGTTTTTGTGGGAATTAGCTTGGTTTTTGTGGGGATAAGTCAGGTTTTGTTGGTGGTTCAGTGGGATTATTTGGGAACCTTTTGGGTTTCTCCAGGGTTTTGACTGGGGATCCATTGGGCCTAGAAAAGGCTAAAAGGCTCTTAGCAAAAACATAGCGCAAGCCTTTCTATGATCTAAGTATGGCGATTTCCAATCAATAAGGGATATCGCCTTTTCCAAAAGGTTATGAATCACTGTCTATCCATTTACTGCTCTGCTATGCACATCCAGCCAAGCGCTACCCATATATATTATGCTTTTCTTCCGCCGGAACTGAAGTTCCCAAGTTGCCACCTTTGGTGGCAAGGGAAACAGATCCAAATTTATGGGCCGCTCTGGGCCGGTAGGGACCAACACCCACGAACCATGATCTTAGTGGTACCTCAAACGGGTGTCAAAGGTCCGGTGGCCAGCAGTTTGAGGTCACTTTTGAGGTGTAAAAATGATGAGACAGAAATTCGAACAACGACTTTGGATAAATGATCATAATAATTCTAGTCACTTTGTGGATTAGACTGTTTGTCCAATTTGTTTGAATGAAGATGATTGAAGTAAGGCCTCCCGTCTTTTCCTTACCGCCCGACCCCCGAGTTGAAGTAAGGCCATTTTACGGAGTAATTACTTGTGATGACCAATGACTGCGGGATGTAGCTGTTTCATCTTGTTTCGAACTTTCTGGCACTTCGCCAAGCGAATGGTTTTGTGGGATCAAAGTTGATGACCATCCGTGGGAATTTAGGGACATCTATACAGCTGAATCAAAACAGAGTAGGCATACGTAACCAACCGCAAATTGGAAGTCAACCGTTTAACCGATGAGAAAAGAACGGGTTTGTCTCAAATTGGGAACCTCATTCCATCCCACGGTTGTTCAGCCGGTATCATATTCTACCCCCGATTTATGGCAAAATAGCTACCCAACCAACAAATATAATTATTGAATATAGTTATGGAAAACAAGGAGAAACCCTACCATTTGCAAATCATGTCCAAAGCGGCTCCCAAGTGCTTTGAGTTTGAAAAAAAAAAACGTCGAACTCTAGATAGTATAGATATAGATATATCATGATATATCCACCGTAAATCCAATCGTTAACCCAGTTGTACACAAAGTTGGCGACTGAACTTGGGCCCCTTACTGTGCCCAAACATGGCTGATCTCAGCCGGTTGCCATATCACAGTCCAATTTTGATGCGGAAAACTTGGAATAGAACTGATCTAACTAGAAGAACTGGGAATATATGACTATTGATGAATATAGCCAAAAACATGAAAAAGAAACACATAGAGAATAACTTGGATTATCCCCCGACCAACTAAGAGTCAGCACCAAGCTCATCACACGCCCCTCAAGCGAGCCGAAAGATCCGCTGTCAGTGGGTGGGGCATAATCCAAGAAAACAAATGGGATGCAGGGGGATCTAGCTGTAGCAAAAAAATGGATATATATATATATATATATATATTTTTATACATAAATATTAATATAAATCAATATAACCAGCCGAGACAATTGTGGAGAGAACCAGCCAAGAAAAATGATGCATGATATAGCCTAGCAACAATATGCAGAGATAGAACCAACAAAACTTGGCCTGGGGCAGCATTGAGTATCCTCCAAGCGGGATGCTTCTAAAAGTAACCCAAATCCTGGCCCCTCACCGCGTGGATCTTGGTGGGTACCGCAATGGTTGCATAGATTATGTTCCAAATTAAACCTCCATTTAAATTTAAAGGGAAAATTTTACTTGCAACGTTTGATTACCGGAGGGTATTTTTGAATGCTACTGCTCAAAAACTACTCGTCACTCAGTCACTCGTCCTACTTTCCGCTCCAGTGTGGCGCGAACAGACCGAAGAGCGGTCTGAAGATATACTGACACTCTGACACCATGGACCATGTGCTGACCGCTGACCACCATATGCTCAAGGATCTCTTTAGATTCCTGATTTCGATTCAAAATACAAAAACAATTGTCGCCACTCCACTGCGGGTGCCTAAAGCACTCCCCCCAAATGAAAAAATGCTTGGTTTATAAACCTCACTGACTATAGATATATCATGATATATCATGGTATATCATGATATCATGATATATATATATATATATATATCATTATATATCATTATAGATCATTATATATCATTATATATCATTATATATCATTATATATCATTATATATCATTATTTATCATTATATATCATTATATGTCAGTCATTATTTATCATTATCTATATATATATAAATAAACCATAAATACTAGTTTAATGTATAATACATAGTCATAAGACAACTTAGCTAACTATAGGCACCATTTTCTAGGGGGCGGTTCTTGTTACGATGTGTCGATGACTGCGCTGAGTGGAGTTGCAACCGATGCGTGGGTCACTTACCCCCGAACTAATGGCAGAGCCACAATATCAACGGCCATTTCAGGAACCTAAATTTGAGGTACCTACCATATATAAGGCCTATGTAAGGACTATGTAAGGGAATATCCCAGCAAAATAAGGGCTATGTAAGGGAATATCCCAGCAAAATATGGCCTTTATGGTACAGTACCTCCATTTTTGGATCCTGAATTTCCCATTGACAATAGCGCTAGTGACTCAGGAAGGATGTGTCTTTGTTTCCAGGAGGTAAGAGCTGACCTCGCGTGTTCAAGGATGTTCAAGGCCCGGGGACCCCGGGGACCCTGGGGACCCCGGGGACGTGCCGCACGTCCGGTTTGATCGCAAGGTGTTGGGTCAACTATGGTTAGTTATAACTTTATGTAACTTTAAAACCTTGTTTGACGCAAGAGATACCCATAGTTAAAATATGTTGTAATTATGTTGTAGTCAGGCACACGGGTCTGACATGTACTGACCATCATGCATCAAGAGGGGATTCTGACTTTGATCACAGAGGGATCAGCTGTCTTCCGAATGTGCTGTGGAGCTGCAAAGAGCTACTTGTTGTGGCCAGAAACCAGTGGGACTCGTTTGGAATGTGCATGCAGGAGATTTCGCAGGCTGCAAGCCCCTTGTTGAACAAACTAATATAACAAGAGACATGGCTATATGCTACAGTATATATTAGAACGGTTAGAGCTGCTATGAAAGAAAGCCGGCTATTGTAAGTTACCCATGGCACAAAAACACCTATCCGATGTAGCACCAAATTCAAAAGCATGAAACTGAACATACTTAAAAACATTTTGGGTAGAAACCCTTCATAATAAATTAATTCCCCACCTGCCAGGTGAGGGTTGTTAGATTTTATCAAAGCGCATGCCCGCCTCCTCCTCCTCCTCGACTAGCTGTCCTCCTCGCTGTCCTCCTCGCCTCCGCCTCTTCCACCTCCACTTCCGCCTTGCTCCACCTCCACTTCCGCCTTGCCAACCTGGCCAACTCGTCGCCAAGCTCTTCGCTAACTGCCCAGCTCAGTGCGCACTGCTGGACGTCAACCTGCGAGCTGCCCAGCTCAGTGTGAACCGCTGGACCTCAACCTGCGAGCTGCCCAGCTCAGTGTGCACCGCTGGACCTCAACCGGGGACCTGCCCAGCTCAGTGTGCACCGCTGGACCTCAACCAGGGACCTGCCCAGCTCAGTGTGCACCGCTGGACCTCAACCGGGGACCTGCCCAGCTCAGTGTGCACCGCTGGACCTCAACAGCCAGATCAGATAGAATGCCAGAAGATATGCCAGATAGAATGTCAGATAGAATGCCAGAAGATATGCCAGATAAAATGCCATGAGATATGCCAGATAGAATGCCAGAAGATATGCCAGATAGAATGCCAGAAGATATGCCAGAAGATATGCCAGATAGAATGCCAGAAGATATGTCAGATAGAATGCCAGAAGATATGCCAGATAGAATGCCAGATAGAATGCCAGAAGATTTGCCAAATAGAATGCCAGAAAATATGCCAGAAGATATGCCAGATAGAATGCCAGATAGAATGCCAGAAGATTTGCCAAATAGAATGCCAGATAGAATGCCAGAAAATATGCCAGAAGATATGCCAGATAGAATGCCAGAAGATATGCCAGAAGATATGCCAGATAGAATGCCAGAAATATGTCAGAATATATGCCAGAAGATATGCCAGATAGAATGCCAGAAGATATGCCAGATAGAATGCCAGAAGATTTGCCAGAAAGAAAATGTATAAATGTCATGGTGGGGATCACACGAAGTAAAGTAACTTTTTGGGTAAAATTATGGACCCACAAATTCGGTTGGTTCTACTGCAGTAGTAACTTTACGGTCGGACCCGCATGCAATGTCGGCTGGAATCTCACCGTCGTCGTCATCATCATCATCATCCTCCTCCTCATCATCATCATCATCATAAACATCAAATAATCATCAAAGCTCCCCACCTTAAATGACAGATACCCATCATTGAGGTTACCCCCCCCCCACCCGCCCACCCTACATGGTTGGCCTTTGGTTTCAAATTTCAAGGTTACATGACATTGTATCTTGCCATCTGCGTGCCCTAAAACGTTGGGAGTTGGGTGTATGTCTTCAAGGCAACAGAAGTTTGCTGCAACGGTGGGTGAGCTCACGGTGCGGGGCCGCGAGTCCCTGTCCATCGGATGCTGAGCGGAACCACGATGGGGGTCGAAAAATGACCATTTCTTCCGCACAGAGAGCAACAATCAACAGAAAATCAACAGTTGGATACAGTTTGTATGTGCAGTGATGGTGTGTGCATTTGTTTTACGTCGCATCATTCGATCATGTTGGATTCATGATTTTAGATACCCTCAACTCAATCCATCTGAAATCACACACACAAATGCATGCCCTATTCGATCACAAGCACAACGAAGGCATGTCGAGGCGCAATAATCTTGGATCACCTTTTCAAAGCTCCATGACGAATGCTGCATCCCTGCGGGTGGAACTTGGGGAGCCAATGAAACTGGTGATTTTTTCTCATGTCAAATGAGGGGTTGCATTGGTAACATCAGCGATTTTTTTCCAATGAAACGGAGTTGTGAATTCATGATTTTTCTGTTTTTTTTTTCGGGGCAAGACCTACAGTAAAATTGTCCATCGGTTATCCCGTGTGGCTGGTGCAAAGTCCTTGTGCAATAACCTGAAGTTTTAACCGCCAATTGGGAGGTTATATGGACACTTAATGATGGTTATATGGATTCCCCCGATATATTCTGATTATTTCTGATTCACATTTGGTACGTTCTACCTATATATGGCATTTTCACATAGCGAACTGGAAGATCAGAATCTGTTTGCAGCCAAATCATCGTTCACGAAATATCGAAGTAAATGGCCAAAGTTTTTGCATCACGGAGGCTCTAAAGTTTCATGAGGAAAAAAAACATGACTGGTTGGTGGTTTCAACCCTCTGAAAAATATTAGTCAGTTGGGACGATGAAATTCCAAATATATGGAAAAATAACAAATGTTCCAAACCACCAACCAGATGAGGTACTTCAGCAGCTTCAGAATCTCAGAGTTCCCACCTTTGTCCCCAAAGAGCTTGATGACGTCATGCGTCTGCACCTCATTCGGGTCACGGTCGCAGATCAGAAAGATGCCATGGTTCTTGCTTTATAAACCCCATGGAAAGGGGCCAATGTTTGTGAAAGTTAAAACCCCATGGCTGAAAAAGTTGGTTTTTATATATATATATACCCTTTGGTTATTTAACATAACCATGGAAGCCATGGCCCATAGAAATAGATGGTTTACCTATTAAAAATGGTGGATCTTTCCATGGCTATGTTAGTCATAACCAGAGGGTATATGGTTTATGTCAATATCCTCTATAAACCCAAACGTTCACCCATCAACCATCTTGGCGATCGTACACGTCGTAAACGCCGGTGTTCCGGGAAAATATGGAGGTGGACCTTGCCGTACCATTCCCAGTCTGGGAATGGTACGGCAAATACAGAAACAAAGAAGTGGATATAAGAGATTGGCGCCCACCAATTGATTGTGGGTATATATTGGATAACCCTATGGATCCATGGCCACTGTCTGAGAAGGTACAAACAAGCCTCCAAATTATAATAGTAAATTATACCCCAAACACTTCCTAAGGTACTTGGATCCATAGGGATATATATCATTATATATCTTAAATATGATATTATAAAGGGTGATACACAGTATCATTCTACAACATGAAGGGACTGCTGCAAGCAACAATCATCCCTGCCCACGTGACCTATATGAACATCTCAACATATTATATTCAAATATTGTTGGAGAAGTGGTTGAAGATATCGTGTACGATACTTGAAACCACCAGATCTCATGTTACTCCGAAGCCTGGCGCAACTCCCAACCATTTGGCGTAACTTCCCGAGGAAATTCAGCTGCACATGGTAGGGTTTTTGTGTCTGGTACCCAGGCACGGCTCAGGAATCTTGGGGGGAGTTGAAAAACTTGTGTCCACAGCCACAGATCAGCAATCACCAGGACTTCGTTCATCATATCCGATATAGATTGATATGTCTTTTGTTCCAACAGATTGACGGCTACATATGTCAGGAACCTGAGCTACAAACTTCTAGTTGGGATGTGATCACTTATTCCATCTGATTCCTCCCCTCAAAATGCTTCACGACCATATAACCAAGTCATTGTTTGCCAACCATTTCCCATGGATATAAAGGTACGGACCTCACATTCGACCCTACCGCAGCCTCACATTCGACCCTACCCCAAAATAACGTCATGCAGCCTCACATTCGACCCTACCCTAACAAAAATACGCAACCCTTCCAGGAAAAAAGGCCACTTTTTCCGGTTCACATTTGACCCTACCCCACTTTAACCTGCCTCAAACCAGAAAAATTACATTCATTGCTATCAAATCAACCAGCCCCCCTTGCACAACTACATTCATTGGTATCAAATCAACCAGCCCCCCTTGAACCATTACATTCATTGGTATCAAATCAACCAGCCCCCATTGAACAATTACATTCATTGCTATCAAATCAACCAGCCCCCCTTGAACAATTACATTCATTGCTATCAAATCAACCAGCCCCCCTGGCACAATTACATTCATTGCTATCAAATCAACCAGCCCCCATTGAACAATTACATTCATTGCTATCAAATCAACCAGCCCCCCTTGAACCATTACATTCATTGGTATCAAATCAACCAGCCCCCCTTGAACCATTACATTCATTGGTATCAAATCAACCAGCCCCCCTTGAACAATTACATTCATTGTCATCATCATCATCATCAACATCATCATCATCATCATCACCATCATCATCATCACAATCATCACGATCATCCGTCATCATCAAAGTCGTCACCATCATCATCATCATCATCACCGTCATCATGATCATCATCATCATCACCATCATCATGATCGTCCATCGTCATCGTCATCATCACCATCATCATCATCATCATCATATCCGGAACCCTCTTTTCGCAGCTAGAAACGCTACTTTCTCACATTCGACCCTACCCCAAAAGGGGGGTAGGGTCATATGCGAAACCATTGGGGTAGGGTCAAATGCGAGGCGCGTACCTCCATCTGATTCCTCCCCTCAAAATGCTTCACGACCATATAACCAAGTCATTGTTTGCCAACTATTTCCCATGGATATAAACCCATTGTATACCATTCTAGTACCATTTTTGGATAGTTAAATCATGTTCAATCCCATGTTTGATCCAGCATTCGCCGCGCGGCCACCGGCTTGCTACAGTGGGTGTGAAGTCGTTCCCATCCAACCTCTGCGAATTTGTCATCCTGGCGGTCCAGAAACCTAACATTTGGGGATGGCCAACATACGCCTTAAAAATGGTGACTTGGGGTATGGTTGATGGCGGTTTACACCTTGTACAAAATTGTACCTCCTTTTACACTGAAAATGGCCATCAAATATCATCGGGAAAATGATGATTGAGCCAATTTCATGGGAACGTCATTGGCCAGGTGGACCCCGGTGAAATGTCTGTGAAATAACCCCCAGGAATACTACAATGTGAGGCCCCCCAGTTATAAGTTGGTTTATAAGCCCCAGTAACTATAGTTATAAATACCATAAACCATACTGTAGTTATTGGAGTTATAAACCAACTTAGCTATCTTGGGGGCCTCACATTGTATAGTTAGCTATATCAATGGGAATTTCAGGATCCTAAAATACTATAATTACTATAGTTATATATATAATACCGCCAATTTAGGTTCCTGAAATTGCCATTGATTATATACCCTAACCAATTTCTCAACCAAACATATGTCTTCCGGCTCAAATTCCGAAGGAGGATCGCCCGACGTATGTGGCTAGATGATTAGTTCACCCAAATACAAACCTGGTTAGAACTGTATCCCAACTGTATAGAATGGTGTCTGGGAGTATGGTTTTTGGACAGACCAACTATTTTGGGGCTGCTATATTTGCAATAATTGTACAATAATATCTGTATAGCACCCACCCCCCAAAAAAATGAAAAGAACAATTTCTCTAAAATAGAGATAATTTACTTTACTATCCTTTTGGATGGTACCGTTAGTATAAATCATTATAATCTATCTATTATCAAGTCTAATCTAGTCCAGTTCGATTTCATCCATGTATCTCTCTATCTGTCTGTCTATCTATGTAGATGTTTATGTTTGTACTATAAAAGATGGTGCTTCACCCTTGCCATGTTGCTGGAAAACTACGTCGGGGTCCCATCAAAGCATGGGGGATTCATAGCCAGTTTCATGGGAAAGTTATCTACGAAATGGGTTATTGTTGTGGCTTTGTTGCTTTAAATAAAACCTATTAGAATACATTTTTCATATAGAAACCTATCGTGTTCTATCCCTTTTTTTCAACCTTATACAAAAACCAAGTGAGACCTACTGAGACCTTATCCGAAGATACCCCAATTGGGCCAATCTTGGATACCCTGCATCCAAAATCGTGGAAAAGTCCCATCTCACCAGAGTGCTTGGTTTACATCCATATAAATATAAATATACAGCTACATATATATATATATTATTATTTATTATTTATTATTATTATTAAATTATTAATTATATCTATATTATATTATATTATATTAATATATATATATATATATTATATATATTACAATAAATTATATATATATAGAGAGAGAAATAAGTTACATCCCATAACAGTTGGTTTACCCAGCGACCTCGATCTACTGACAACTTCACATGGCCGAGCTGCCACTTGCGCAAGCTGCATCCTCAGCAGATTCAGCAAGCTTGGCCCAGCCAGTTTCGTCTCAACATCCATTTGGGAATGGTTTCTACTAGTACCACCTGTTTATGGTGATTTGGGGGATGGTTTATTATTGTTTTACCCTGTTTTACCCACATTACTACAAAATGGCTCGGTTTATTGGTGAAGATCAGCTTCTAATCCAGTCTTCCTCTGCCCCTGCCAGGAAAAGCCAGGAAAATATCCAAGACAATTCACGATCCAACAACCCAGTCATTGCTTCCGGTATTTAGGTGTATTTTGCAGCTGGGGCCGGTGCGGTTTAACCCTAAATCAAGCAGCTAATTTAGTTCATCATCATGTTCCCTCATTTGTCCGAAATTTTCCCGAACAAAAACAAGTTAACGTAGTCAATCCATGTTAATCCTCCTTCCCCCCCATGTTTTCCCCAAAAAAAACATGGCAATGTTGGGGGTTCAATCTCTCAGGTCATCAGCTCCAGGCGTCAAGCTTTTCCAGGCCTTGAAGTCTACTTCATCCTGAGAAAAGCGATCCAAAAATTGGGGATGGACAAACATTGACCAACCAGCCATCCAAAAGTGTCTGTGATCTGTGATGACTTGGTGCAGATGGCAGGCTGAATCCCACACATTTTAGTCACTGTTAGAAAGCAAGCCAAGTTCTGGGACTGCCTTCGGCTCAAACTAACTGGCACATCCCAACTTTCGCTTCCGAGAGCTGAACAGTGCCTGAGATTTCTTGCGGCAAGTGCGGCCATGTCACAGTGCCTAGATTACTTGCCCATTCTTCAACCTTTCTTTGCGTCCCAGCCTCGGAAAGGCCAGGCTGGTAACTAACTGACTCTGCACATTGAACCAGCGGACCCCACCCAAAGAACCGGGCTGGTGTCATCTGAACGTGGAGAACAGTGAAGGGCCACATTGCGAACTTGACTTTTTGAGTGACTTACTATACCCTCTCAAACATGGCAATGGACAATCCCAAACCATATGTAGATCATTCTCTCTACTTGGACGGATCAGGAAAAGGTTCATTCCTAGAGGCTATGCGCCCAAAATGACTATTGTATCGGAGAAAATAACGTTCATTGAAGTTCCAAAACCCATAGAATGTGGTTTTTGTCACTGTTGTGAACTTGTGAACTTGATCGGCGGATGGAGCTGCCGAGCTGCAAAGGGTTCCAAGAGAAGAATTTCCAAAACTTCGCAGTGCATAAAGACCATCCACTTCCTAGGTTTTATGCACTGCACCCCCGAGGAGCTGGTCAGCTGGTGACTTCCAGCTCCAAAAACCCAGGCAAAGTCTGGTCACCAAAATGGAATTTTGAATCCCCTGCGAGGACTTCACACATTTTGGACTTACCTGAGAAACCGAACATCGTTTCCGGCTGAGGAGCGACCTCTTTCGTTTTTTTTGGGGGGACGGGAATTCTAGACATTTCTGGACTATGTGTTTCATTCCCTTGATGCATGGGCTTGTTGTCACCTCTGAGAAGGTCGTGACAAAGGACCATCAGGCTCAGAGCATGTCACCCGCCAAACCCTTCCCAGGCGGCTCAAATGCACTCCAAGAAAACTTGAAGCCCAAACAAAGGCCACACATGTGAGGTAGTATTAGAAACAAAAGGTGTTGCCAACCTTGCAAGATTCAGCCAACAGCAATATGTGTACAATGTGTTCCCCCCCCCGCATTGATGCTGGTTTATAAAAGCCCCAATTGACGATGTATCAACCATAAACACTAGTTACATGGGTTCTAACCCAACGTAATTCACTATTGGGCACCACCCTATGTACAGACCATTTATAGATCCTGCGATCAACGGGTCACCCTATCCCTTGAGACCCACGGCCGAAGTCGGCCAGGCAACGTTTCGGTCTCCTGTGGAAAAAATAGACCCATCTCTTGGAACGTTAGGGCCATGGCATGTTGAAACGTTAGCCTGGGCAGATGACATGGGGGGTTCCTAAAGTAAAGGTACCCCAATAGTTGGATGGTTTATAATGAAAAGTATTGAAAAGTCCTATAAAAAAATGGATGATTTGGTGGTAGCCCTATTTTTGGAAACCACCAAGAATAGTCAATCTTTGGTAGTCCCAATAGTCCACAACTGTCATCTTATGCTGGTTTTGGCATTGGTTCCATTTATAGCAACAAAAACTTAAAGGATTAAACGACCTACCCTCTGGTAAACCAACATAACTATGGAAAATCACCATGTTTAATGGGAAAATCCACTATAAATGGCCATTTTCAATAGCTATGTTAAATTACCAGAGGGTATCCATCCAAGGTTGGGAATGATGAAGTCTGAAGTCTTCAGAACTCACAGACTGATGAACTCTTTAACGAAATTGTCCATCCTCCCATCCTCCATATTTTTTAACCCAACAAATGGGAGCCATGTTTTTATGAACAAAGATCCAGTACGGAGAACGCTGAGTTTCGATTGACATGTGAAAATAAGATAGGTGAGTAAACATCGCATCACCGTTTTAGTCACACAACGGTCACTCTTGAGTGAAATGACCTATCCATTGACCAATGGCATCAATTTTGGATCTCACAAATCCGCTGTTGTGATATTTCCTGAAGCTTAAAGTTGGCTTCAAACCCACCAGTTGTACTGCTCTGATCACCCCCTTTCTGAAAAAAATAGGGGCGCCCATGTCATGGCATTTGGCATCATCCCATGTCATGGCCCATGTCTATGCTTGAAAATAAAGAACATTCAAAACAAACCCATAGGATCCATGTATTCTATATAACATTTACCATCAATATACCCCAGTCATGTTAGCATATATACCAGCACCATGGATCCTTTGTTAACAACTTCTCCAGACTTAGACTGAGCACTAAAAACAAAAACCATCAAAAACCTCAATGTGGGGAAATCCGCCATCGATCCGGCTGGGCGATGCTGGGCTTCATAGCCCTTGTTTTTTCACAATCCAATGATGTGAATGTTAAGATCATGTTCCCAAATATTCGTGAAATACCATGAAATACCATGAAATACCATGAAATGCCATGAAATGCCATGAAATGCCATGAAATACCATGAAATACCGTATGATTCTTGGGTGATTTTTTCCTGTGGCTGGCTGAAAAATCAGCAAAAAAGATCGGATCAAAAACCCCGGTTTCTGAGTTCGAGTTTTTTGGTCAACCTTAAAACACCAGCGGTTTCCCAAACAGAATGACCCCTATGGATCCAGGTACCGTACCTGAAAGGAAGTGGGTTTAAGGGGTATAATTTACTATTAAATTTGGAGGCTTAAGTATGTACCTTCTCAAACAGTGGCCATGGATCCTTTTTGGGGACTAGTATTTGGAGGAAAATGGGGTCCAAAGACTAAGATGTCCACATGTTTAAGGCATCGAATCAGAGAGTGCAGTGAGATGTTTGAACCAATGGATGGAAGGGACATATCCATAGGTTGGTGGTATACCTACCCCTCTGAAAAATGATGGAGTTAAAGTCAGTTGGGATGATGAAATTCCCAACTGCATGGAAAAATGAAACTTGTTCCAAACCACCGACCAGCACAAATTTCATCTACTTTCAGAAAACAAGGTTGTAATTTCATCAAAGGTGACCAGCTTCACAAAGGCTAGCTTAAACCTGGGCGTTGTGACTGGGTGAGTTGTTGGTGTCCGTTGAAGTTCTGGGTACTTTCAGAAAACAAAAACCTCGCTGAAGAAAACCCGCGTTTCCGGAGGACTGGCCATGAGTCAAAACCCTGGTGCCCGAATGGTACCCTTAAATAGCTGGTTTATGGTTTTTCATTACCCAAATATGGTAATATATAGGTTTTGACCCATTTGCAACTCCCTTTCCGTTTTCGGAAATCCCTGGTCAGATCGGAACACCGTGCCACGGTGTTGCCAAAGGAGCATGTAGCGGGGAAGGATCCTTGGATCGGTGGCGGGATGTTGTCGGTGAACCGTTTTTAGCCAGAACCGTGTGCCCATAGGATAAATAATCCCATATGTGTTGATCAAATCCCCATATATGTTTGTTAAAATCCTCATATGTCTTAGTCCATTCCCGACCTGTTGGTGAATTACCCTAGAATCTAGAGTAAACATACAAAAAAATGTTGAAAACCCAATGTTATCAATGTTTCTCCAGGAAAAGTATCTTCAAATGGTAGGCTTTTCCACATCTATGTTGGTTTACAGGAGGGTACCCTCTGGCTGGAAAAAAAAAACGAACAAAAAATGGGATTTATAGCTGGGAAAATCGCGAACCCAATAGTGGATTTTACAGCTCGTGATGTTTGATGACCGGAGGGTAACCTGGTAACCCCCTGATGAATATCACATAACCTCCACTGAAATCATGGTTTTATGGTATCGGATGAGTATTGGATCCATGAAAAAAGGGGTCCCTCCTTGGGGGTACGATCTAAGGCCACAGAGGTTCTCCACTTCTGAAAAACATGTGTCAAAGCAATGGACCCCAGAAATGGAATGGGGTCCAAGTCAAGATCAAGCAACATCTGGGCTGGAGATTCTTGAGTTTTGTCCAAATCCCCAATCTCGCCGCTCAATATCCATATTTTTGGACTGGTGAATTTACCATGTTTCCCCTCCAACTTGGGCTTTAGGGTCCCCAACTTTCCCAGACATCCCATGAATATGCCCATAAATACAGCTTGAGTATTGTACAAGAATTCCCTGTATAAGAATTTGAGGGGCTCGAATCCAAGGCGGGCTACATATTTTCAGTTTTTTTTGTAGTGTAACAATGATCCCTATCCCCATATCATATCATATCACATCATATCATATAGCTATGACTTCATCATTTCCATCCAGCATCATCCATCATCATCCACTTCATCTACAACCTTCACAACTCGGTGGTGACCACCATCATCCAGCACCAAGCGCCCTGCCCGCCCGCTATCGCGCCGAGCATCTTGCGGTCCCAGTGCACCTTGGCCGCCAGGCGAATCGTTTGCCGTGCCGAGGCGATTTTGTTCTCCAGCAGCTTTCGCAGCACCTGCTCCAGGTAGCCCAGCAAGACGCCCAGATGCCTAACGCCCAGCACAACGGCGACACAAGGCGATACCAGTAACACCATGGCGCCCGGATATTTTTAGAAACATGGGGTGGATGCTGAGTATGTGATAGTATGTGTAGACACAAAATTATCGTTGATTTAGTATATATCAACTGAGACGAAATGAAAGGGTTGCACATTTCGATGGCTTCGGCAAAAATGGTGATTCAACCTCGACAAGATGTTGTGTTTTTGACCTGGATTCTACAAAAGGTGAATTGGGTAAGAAAACTATAGGCCAAGGGGATCGAGTTACGGTGAAGAAATGAATACAGTATATATATATATATATATATAAATATGTATATATATATATATATATATATGTATGTATATATATATATACAATATAATCATAATACGAATAATAACAAAATAACAAATTATATTTATATATATATATACATACAAATTAGTAAATATATATACATATTAATATATGTATATATATACACATATTCATATATATATATATTAATATATATATATATATGCATATTAATATATATATATATATATGAATATATATATATATATATACATATTAATATATATATATACACATATTCATATATATATATATGTACATATTAATATATATATATGAATATATATATATATATATATATACATATTAATATATATATATCACCCCAGTTGGATGGGTTCTAAACCAACTGAGATTCTAAATTCTTCTCATTCTGCAACTTCCAGGATCCCCAAAATGGCCAGAATCCGACCGGTCGGAAACCCTGGATGCCTTGGAAAATTGGGACTGCGAAGAAAACCCATGGTAATACCATGATGATATCCCATAAATTTGGGTATATAACCATATAATCATGCTATAACCATGGTATGTCATAAATTATATAAATGTCAGGAATCCATTGAGTACAGCGACATGAGATCCCAAGTCGGGTTTAGCGAAAACCAGCCGCCTGTGCTCGTGCTCCTCATCGCGAAACACCGCCTTTCGGCCGGCAAGAAATGGATACCCTAACAGTTTGCTAGTGAAAATGGCCATAAAAAGAATTGATGCAGCCATCAAAACTGGTGATTGTCCATAGTCATGTTAGTTTACCAGAGGATATGTTTTCCAAGGTTAAAGGGGCTGACGGCCAACAGGAATAAGACCTAGTAGGAAAACATATCCATGGCTCGGAAAGTTTGAAGTTGGGAAATTCATTGACTTTCATGAAGGAGTTCCTTCTTGCTGACATTACCCCAAAGGACGTTTAAGGCGATCAAAGCACCAAAACATCAATCTCATTCAACCTGCAGAGTTCGCACAACAAGCACAATGGTTTTCCAAACCCCTTAGCTTCCAACCCCCAAAAATGCAGAAGATATACATTCCATGTACCCTAACGAACCAAACGGACTTGCCCCCTGGAATTCCACCCCAATTTGGCACTGGGTATGTTTGGGGGAATCTGTGTGTATATACATATATATATATACAGTATGTGTGTGTGTCATTGTGCACCACTGATTACACGGATTTATATATAAATATATACAGTACATCACAAACAACTCAGATATGTAGGCATGTGTTTAGTGATATTTCGCTATATATGTATATATATATATATTATATTATATATATATGTACCTGGAGAACCAAAACCCCAAGAATCCTTCGGGTCAACGCAAGAACCTTAGGTATCTCGAAAAAATAAGAAAACCTCGGTTTTCGATTGAAGACCTCGGGTATTGATTTTGAACCCGTACTGAACTTCACCCGTACCTAACCCGTACTTAACCCGCACTAACCCGTACCTAACCCGTACCTAACCCGTACCTAACCGGTACTTTCAGAATGGGTTAAAGTACCCTGAGTTTTGTCAGAAAAGCTCGGGTATTTTTCAAACCCTAAGATTTCTGCGGTTTTTGTTTCTCAACGTATATATATATATATTATCATGATACACCTCCAACAATTCATATATGTGGATCTTGACAATAAATATGTGTATATATATACACATGAATTTTATACTATATTATATTATAGTATATCATATTATATCATGTTATTTTATATTACATTATATTATTTACTATATTATACAATAATATGATATATTACATTATTTACTATATAATACAAAAATAATGTAGAATATATATACATATATATTATACAGTGTACTATATAACATATTATACCGTATCAAATATTATACTATATAATTTATTGTACAATATTATATTATCTACTCATATATTATATTACATATTATACTATTTTTCATTTTATTATATAATATTATATTCTATCATGTTATTATTATATTATAGCATTAAATCATTATATCATTATATCATGAAATTATTTTATTATTATAGTATTTTACTATTATATTACATCATATTATCATATTATATCATATTATTATCTTATATCATATTATTTTATTATTATATTATTATATTATTATATTTATTAGAGTATTATATTATTATATTGTTATATTATTATTACATTATTATTATATTGCTAGTATATTATTATTTTATTATTATATTATATAAAATGATGTGATATTATATTATATTAAATTATATTATATTATATTATATTGTGTTTATATTATATTATATTATATTATATTATATTGTGTTTATATTATTATATCATATTGTTATATTATATTATTATATTATTACGGCCAGGCGCTGTGTGTTGCCCGGAAAGTTTAAATGGCGTTTAAACTTGTTTAAACATTATCCTTCAACATGCTCAAACACCTGCGGAGGGCCAGTGTTTTGAGATTTCCCAGACAACGAACCCTAAACCCTAAAACCCTAAACCATCCTAAACCTAAAACCCCAAGCCCCAAAACCCTAAACACTAAAACCGAGGCTCTGAAAACTTTGAACCCTAAACTGGAAAACACTGCGTATACGCAGTATTTTCTGCAATCTCTCCTATCATATATTCGACAGCACGATATTCTTATGTCAATGTCTGGGCAACACACGGCGTCTGTGGGTATTATTATATTATCATATTGTATATTATATTACATTATATAATTATTACACTATATATTATATTATACTATATTGTATATTATATTAATTCTCACATTATATGTTTAAAAATGTATCATATCTAACAAACAACAGGGATCTGAATGGTCAACGCACCTGAATGCTATCCCGGGGTCCACCCATCATCTTCCTGGGGACGACCCGAGATGAACAGATCGAAAAACCCCGTCGTTTCTTTTGAAAGTCAAGGCACGTTGAAACCAAGAAAAAGGCCATGCATTATGACAATGGATTTTGGATTTTGGATTATAAAAGTGTCATTTATGGATTTTGGATGACATTTATGGATTCATGGATGTTGGATGACATTATGATAATGATAAAAATGACATTCATGGATTTTGGATGATTTTGGAGAAAAAGTAACCAGCAATGGGAAGCATCATGAATTATGACAATGGGAGATCAAACCATGAATCAAAGCCATGAACAGATACAATGTGAGGCCCCCAAGATAGCGTTCAGTTGGTGAACATAACTCCAATAACTATGGTTTATGGTACTTATAACTATAGTTGCTGGGGCGAATCTAAACCAACTTATAACTGGGGGGCCTCACGTTGTAGATAACATCAAAGCCTTACAGCTCCAATAGCCACTTTCTGAGACCGGCAATTTGGGGATGGTGTCTTTGGGTTCCAAACACCACACCTCAGTGACCGTGACCTGGGAGCACATTTAAGGGATGAATCACGATGAATCCCTATGTCCTGATGTCATCAGTTTGTGAAGTCATTTCATGACATCAATGTTTGAGAAAGCACACGACAAACACTGCAATCTATCTGGATACTTCATGATAGATCTGAATAAGTCTTAGACCTAGATGTGTAACTCATCACAATCAATTTTTAACCCGTCCAGTAAAACCATGGTACACTCAGTCGCAGTTTATCATACAGCTGGATGGTCCAAGTCGACAGCATGTTTTGTCCAAGTCGACACGCGAACGTCCATTCCTAGGCGAACCAAATCTCCCTTTTTTCAACAGTTCAAGTCGCGAAAAAGCCATGAAAACCCACGTTTTTTGTTTAGATCTCCTGGAGAAACCAGTGGTTTTCCAGGTCTAAAATTACCCCATCGTCGACCGTTTTTCGAACACCCTCTGGTCGAAAAAAATCCTAACCCTGGAGCCCAGGAAATGCCGCCGAAGTCTTCATTTCTATGGAAAATCACATTTTTCGGTAAATCAATGATTACCCACATATATGTTAGTCATACCCAGAGGATATTTCCATATATGTATGTTAATCATTTAGTAACATGGAAATATCGGAAAACGGATCTAAACAGGTCATTTTGTTCACAAATGGGGAAATTTCTGTCAGATTGAGAGGGTTTTTTCATTCCCAGAGATTTTGATGCAAAATTTTGATGCACATTTTGGCTACAAAATCTCTTGGGTCATTTGAAAAACACCCAATAATAGAAATTCGAAAAGTCACAACGATTCACTGATCTCATCCCGTTACAAAAAATCATCTGTTGGCTTGTAAACTCACACAGCAATTATATCATATTGTTTATATTATTGTTGTAATACCCGGCCTGGTAAACTGTTACAGTTTGCGAACTGGAAAGATCCACCATGCTATGAAAATGGCTAAATCCACGACATTTCGACTGGGCCATTTTCAAGTTCGCAAACTCATCTGAATCACCCCGTTTCAACGAATTCTCGTTTCCATTCCCCGGACCCGCTTTTCGTTTCCCACGGTTTCCATTGGGGTTCACTACCCCATAGGATCCATGTATGGTATATATGCTAACATTTGGGGTATATTGATGGTAAATGTTACCATATATAGCATACATGGATCCTATGGGTACGGCACTGCTGAACGAAATCCGGTCCCAGGCACATGTTTTTGATCAAAATCTTCACCTGAGTGGATCCGGTAAGTGGATCAAGGGATCCCGAGTGGAGGACCGAAGAGGGATGGGATCCAGTAGCCTTGTTGGATCCATGGTGCTGCTATGGTAATATGGATCCCATCAATACACCCCAAAAATGTTAGCATATATATATATATATACATATATATACCATACATGGATCCTATGGGGTATGGATGACCTCAGAATCTTGGCGAACTTGGAGGCTCTAAGTCTGAAAGTCCAAGTCCTCATGAAGCCATTGACAAGGCATTGACATCACGTCGCCAAGGCACGCAATTCTCTTTTTTGCGCGCCTGTTGTAGAAGCTCCAAGATGGTAGGCACCATCTCACCTGCCCGTCCGCCGATCCCCGGACCGCACCGGACTTTGGTGCTACAAATCTGGTTGGTGGTTCAACCCCTCCGCAAAAATATGAAAGTCAGTTGGGATGATGAAATTCCCAATATATGGTAAGTCATAAGACATGTTCCAAACCACCAACCAGAAATTAATATGAATATCATTGGATTAGTTTTTTCAGGAAACCATCTGTGTTTTTCCGGAATAAAACCCAGCCTAATACAACCCTGAGTTTTTCGAATGCTCAAGATGATCCGATGATCCCAAGATCCACAGATCGCTTCCGAACTCTGCTCCCCGGCTTCTGATCTCATCAAAATGAAGGAGGCCCCGCAAGAAGGAGGTGGTCACGAAGTTGGTCCAAACCTGACGAGACACGACTAGCCTTGGAGTATCAAATAGCTACCTGGGAAATCCCGAGAGATTGCTGGTGTTTAAATATGTTGAAGGGCAAGGGAATGAAACAGTCTATATATATATATATTATATATAAATTCTATGAACTATAAACAGGCTTTTCAAGAGCCAGGTTTTGACAACAAATGTAATTAATAGGGCAACAGAAACCTGTAAAGATGGAAATATTGAGCAAATCTTACATGGCCATACACAAATCTACAAGGGAATTAGCTGAAGTAGCACCCCATTTGTGTCTGAGGCACATGGCCTGATTGGGCTCCTTTGTTTAAAAAAGGAATACACATATATCATCCTTTCTCCCATTCTGTCCCCATTTTTCCCCACATTGACGTGTGGGGTTTTTGTTTTTAGTTCTGTATCCGCTCCTCCTCCTCCTCGTCCTCCTTCCTTCCTTCCCGTCCTCCCTCCCTCCCTCCATCACTCACTCTCACTCACTCACACTCACTCACTCACACACACACACACGCACGCACTCACTCTCACTCACTCACTCACTCACTCACTCACACACACACACGCACTCACTCTCACTCACTCACTCACACACACACACGCACTCACTCTCACTCACTCACTCACTCACTCACACACACACACGCACTCACTCTCACTCACTCACTCACTCACTCACACACACACACTCACTCACTCTCACTCACTCACTCACACTCACTCACTCACACACGCCGCTTTTGCGTGGCAGGCGTGGGACAATGTGCACTGCCAAGGGGTCGGATGTACGCCCTGGCGTCCCTTGGTCTCCGCCTCTTTTGCGTGGCAGGCGTGGGACAATGTGCACTGCCAAGGGGTTGGATGTACGCCCTGGCGTCCCTTGGTCTCCGCGTCTTTTGCGTGGCAGGCGTGGGACAATGTGCACCGCCAAGGGGTCGGATGTACGCCCTGGCGTCCCTTGGTCTCCGCGGCTTTTGCGTGGCAGGCGTGGGACAATGTGCATTGCCAAGGGTCGGATGTACGCCCTGGTGTCCCTTGGTCTCCGCGTCTTTTGCGTGGCAGGCGTGGGACAATGTGCACTGCCACGGGGTCGGATGTACGCCCTGGCGTCCCTTGGTCTCCGCCTCTTTTGCGTGGCAGGCGTGGGACAATGTGCACCGCCAAGGGGTCGGATGTACGCCCTGGCGTCCCTTGGTCTCCGCCTCTTTTGCGTGGCAGGCGTGGGACAATGTGCACTGCCAAGGGGTCGGATGTACGCCCTGGCGTCCCTTGGTCTCCGCTTTTGCGTGGCAGGCGTGGACAATCCTCACTCACACACACCACACTGGCATCACTCACTCACACTCTCACTCACTCACTGTACATGAACATACATACATACACACAAACTCACCCACCATCACCGCTCCATCACTCTTATACTTCCTCTTCCCTTCTTGCTCTTCTATGGTCAGTCTAAGTCTAAAGAAGTTGGTAACATGTGGGGTTATCCGGTCCTTTAATATCATAAGACCAGCCTAGAAATCCATTGAAATCATTGAATCTGTGCATCACACAGTGCCAATTTGGGGTCTACCGGGGTCTACCGCCATGGAGGTTTCTCATCTCTCATCCTTCCCAAAAAACTGCTTTGCAAAGCTTGGGTTTCAACCAAGAAACCACGGACCAAGCGATCTCGGAATGCAGTGAGAGTCCATTGAGTTGGTCATCCAAGGTGTTCAAGATGGAGAGTTGGAAGAGGCACAGATACTGCGGCTTGATGCCGTAGTGCCGATGCCTGGCGAGCCAGGCTCGCGGCTCTCAATACCCATGACGGATCCATGGTGATGCTATATTAATGGTGTGCCATGGATCCCATCAATATACCCCAAATGTTAGCATATATGCCAGCACCATCGATCCTATGGGATATGGGGCCCCCCTTTCTCGATATGGTGGCCAGAAAATCCTGACTTCCTGTATTTTGGAGAGCCAAAAAAATGGTGGAACAGTGGAAAAAATAGGACAAAATGGTCTTCGGGGGAAGAGATTTGGATGGAAGATGGAGATGGATTCTGAGGTACCGCAAAGCGGTGCTGATGAGGTACCCAGCCTTGCATGCCATCCACTTGGCTAGAATGTGAAGGATGTACTCGGAGGGGGGTGTCATCAAAACTGGCTAGGAAAGCCTCAACGAAATGGGCATTTATAGATGGGAACATCATCCAACTAAATGAACATTTTAAGGCTAGCCAGGTTTGATTACGGCTCAGTAGGGTATGTATATATATATATATATATATATATATATATGCATCCATGATGTAATCAGTGATACATATATCATATACAAGATAGATCATCTAAAACATATATTATACAATATATATATATAATAAATCATATGCACTATATATATATATATGTAGATAGTATGTACAATATTTTTGACATACCATCTGGTTATTTAACATAGCCATGGAAAATGGCCCATTTATGATGGTCTACCTATTAAAAATGGTGATTTTCCATGGCTATGTTAAATAACCAGATGGTAAACGTTCACATTTCTGCATTGATGGAGAGTATATATCCGCAGGAATTCAAAATAAAAAGGCCAGCGCTTCGCTGCGGGTCAAATGGTCCAGCTGCACCACAGTGGATACAAACATTTAAAAACCATGGAAACATGATAGCAATGATTACCACAATAACTATATATGATAGCAATAAATAGTAACATATATATATATATATATATTATATTATATATATATTATATTATATATATGATATTCAATAGCAAATCGCTTCCTTAGCACATCTTCGCCATTTTCAGACATTCCACAAATATTCAGCAACCGCGCTAACCTGCTCGGCTTCTCTTTTAAAAGGGCCGCCTCAGTCCAACCGATGTCATCTCCAAACTGGTCTTGGTGAAATTCTTGTCGCGCAGCGAGTCCAAGGCTTGGTGATTTTAAGGGAGACAGGTAGAAAAATATCATACTACATATATATGTATATATATATATATATTATATGATATATGTGTCTCTAATATAGTACTAATATATATATAATATAATATATGGACAATGAATATTATGATATTAGAAATATTATAATATGACAAAATATCAAAAAATAGGATATACGTTAAAGTTAAAATACTAGAGCACATGATAACATCATATCAAATAAGGCTTTCCTTCCGTTAGCACATTTCCGTCATAGCTAATTCTGGGACGACTGGGGGGTCATGGAGATTCATTGGCGTTTTTTTTTTTCGGTACCTCACGTGGCTTAGGCCCGGCAACATCGGCTCAGGGGGCTTTCTCGGCCAACGTTTGTAGATGATTTCTTTATTTAGGAACCCATCAGTTGTCATCAGTTGTCCAGATCTATGTTAGTTTACCATGTTTACCACAAGGGTGTCTTGTAACGTACAATAGATTATGGATGTGTATTGAAAATCGCCAGTATGCCGACCAGAGCACACAAATGTGTCGATAGGTATGATTTTTTGAAAAGCTGGTGGATTGGAAGCAACAGAAACAGGTATATTATGACATTACATTATACGCTGGTAATGAAACATATTTTTAAAAAAACATAATGGGAAATCCATGAAAATTCGTGTGGGGGGATTTGCCAGCGGGCCATGTTTGATTGCCAGAGAATTAACCTAGCAATGGAGGGAGTTTTAACCAAACGACTAAATGCGTGTAATTTCCATGGGCTAGCTCAATGTGTGAAAGGAAAGCTGGAAATCTGGGATGTTGACCTCATAGGATGCAGCGCCCCGTTGGGGGGATCTTGCGGCATTTTCGCCAAGAGGCAGCGTGAATAAAGGCACCAAACAGCAGAGCTTGCGTCCGCATGCGGTCTCTCTTGAAGATACTTAGGATTTCTCGATGTCTCGTGAAATTCCTGGCGCCCATCAAGGCGCACAAAGCCCGGTTTTCGATGTGGCGTTGATGTTGGCGACGAGTTGATGTTGGCGACGAGTTACCGATCCGAAACAAATGATGAGCTTTTTATCCAACCATCAAACCGTCCATGTTTGGCTGGATGTAAAGGATGAAGTCATTCCCAGGTCTCAAAATTGAAGACATCCGATATTCGCATGCAAAGGGTCATATTAGCATCTACCATTGATTTCTTGGTTTGACCCAGAAGTATATCCCGTTCTCGTACAAATTTGTGTCAGTGGTGCTATTCTTGTCTTTAGTAGTTTTTATTGGTTGCATTGCAACAGTATTATCCCACATCTATTCCTCGGTGAATTCCTCGCTTCATCTGCTGTTCATCCCCCACGTTCCCTGCAGCTCCTGTACAGCAGCTTCCCAAATTGATCTATTCCTCAGCGAGCTTTGCGACATCTCGATCCGGAAAGGGAAGGGACCTGTGGAAACAAATGCCTTACAGGGTTTTTTTGTTTAATAAACCATAGCCCATAGGATCCATGTATGCTATATATGGTAACATTTACCATCAATATACCCCAAATCTTAGCATATATATACCATACATGGATCCTATGGGTAATAAACCCATAAATATATGTAGAATTATGTAGATACACCTGATACACCTCTATAGATTCATCATTCAAAACCCCCAGTTGAACTAATTCTGACCCAACAAAATTGGGCACCCCATTCCATGATGTAGGGCGTATATCCCATTTTATGATATTTTATGCAGGTACCACTCCTGATGTTGAGATATGGAGATATGGATAACACCACTATGATTGGAGTTGTTGGGTCTCCAAAAACGACGACTTCATCTCTTGACCAGTGCTTGAGCCCACCCAGTTCCTGATCTTCGTTGATTTATACCATTTACTCCTCGTTTTTGCATTTTTTGCTGAACGCCTGCAAACTCGTCAAACTATCAGCTGAGTGGCGAATCTTGCGCCACTGGCCAAATACTGTGGCCAACATGCTACCTTGGTTCCCAGGATCAATGGTGTGCTTGTCATCCTGTCTCTGCTTGGTTGAGAACCAAATTTCCATACTGATAATCAGACTATAATGCCTGGACAGTGTTTTCGTCACTGCTTAGAAAACGGGTGTACTATGGGGTACTGTAGTAGATCCCCTTTGTCCAATCCCTGGACCAGGGACATACTGTGAACAACTGACATTGGAAGACCTCAAACCCATACACTTTGGGGAGTATCTAAAACCTTCAAAAACATCTATATCGACCCCAAAAAAGATGCTGAAAAGTGTGTCCAGGATGGTAGTTCCATGATATATTTCCCAGAGTTTCCAGGTGTCCATTTTTTCCTATCGTTTGGGGGGTTTACTATACAAATCATCAAACATGTTGGGGGAATTATGATGGATTTTGCAAAGGATCCAGTTCCAAACAGCCATCCAAAAAACGGAGAGACCAACGAACAGAAAGAACAAACCACTATGGATCGGTAGCCATTTCGATGCAATGGATCGGTAGCCATATATGGCAGGGGTGGTGTCTTTTTTCCATCCCCAGTCATGGTCGTTGTTTATGGCAGGCTTTCCGTGGACAATTTTTTGTTTCATCATGTCAATGCAGCAACGGATGCCACCGACAAGCGGGACCAAAATCGACAAAATTCACTAGATTCCGACAACAGTAGGATCCGGCTTTACGAATGTAGCCTCCAGGAAGCAACAGTCCAATGGTGGCTCCTCAGGAAAACATTGGAATGCATGCAAATATTGCCAACATGGACTGTTTGGGTATATTAATACCACCATCCTTCCCTCATTCCACCCATCCGCTGCCATCAACAAAGATTGTCGGTCTACCCGTCCCTTCACGCGGAGAAACTCAACGATGCATAACTCATGGAGTCTTCGAATGCACTCTGGCAGAAGCGTGTGAATAAGGCATGATCCTCAGCAAAGTTTGAGAACAGGCACTGGTCATTTTCTGGACTTGCTTGCCATCACTCAATGAAATTTGAGGATAACTTGACTGCCCAGGCAAACGAAAAAGTTGTGAGGCTGTGAAGAGATTTAACGTGACTGTCTCAGTTCTGGCCAGGGACGAAAATCTGGAGGTTAGTTGCTGATACTTCGGTTGCCCCAAGGCATGAAACTCTTTGTTCATGAAGCCTAAGCCTGGCTGCCCCTTGAATGTTTGGTCATAGTTGCCTAGCTTTGTGCTTCGAACAATTCACAATGCGCAGGTGGTGACAGCAACCCTGACAGTGTCATGACAATGACCAATAGAATGAACATGATGATGATAATAATTGTTATTACTACGTACTACTACTATTATGATGATGAAGATGATGAAGGCATCCACAACTGCCAGTTGTTCCGCTGCATGTTCATCAGAGTGCACTGACCCATACACTCTGGTATTCTACAGCCTCTTTTCCATAGAACATATTTGCATTGATGGAGGAAATTCCCATCTGTTTCCCATTAAATCAAACATTGATATGGTTCACATCCTTTACCATTGAACATGGATGATATTGTCACCTTGTCCCATTGTCAATAAATCGGTGTCTCATCTTTTCCCATTAAAATCATTAAAGGTGCAGGATGGTGCCCCCCAGTTATAAGTTGGTTTATAAACCCCATTAACTAGTTCGTTATATCTACCATAAACCATAGTTATGAGAGTTATGTTCACCAACTTAGCTAACTATGGGGCACCACCTTGTGGGTGTTGTTCTCATCTGTTCCCTTTTTTCACACGAACGAAATTTGAAAAAAAAAACGGAAAAAAAACCATCATCCGATGTTGACGAGGTCCAAGTCTCGGAGGCTCCAGGATATCTGGAAAAAATATCTCCTCAAGTGGCCATGCAACAGGAACCGATTGATTGGAGCTACCAATCCCATATATAAGGCCTAAATTTCAGAGGATATCCCTAGAAAATCTGGCCCAAAATATGGTACAGTACCCCCATTTTAGGATCCTGAAATTCCCATTGATCAAGGTATGGTCCCCGAAAAAATGCCCTAAATATGGCCCTAACCATCTGGACCGATGACCCAAAAAGATGGGGAACTTTTAGCCGTTCGGCTTTAATGATCGAATGATTCATGGTGTGAAAAACCACATCTTTAAGTTAGTCTACAGGAGGGGAACTATTCCCAGAGGATCCATGTATGGAATATTTACCTACATTGACCCCTAAAGTAATTTAAAATAATACCAATGTAGGTAAATATTCCATACATGGATCCTTAGGGATTTAACATTTAACATTCTTCAACTAAGTGATAGGCCACTTGAAATATCTTGGAATTGGGTCAGGTGATCAGCGAATGACTACTCGCATAGAAACAGATTGAAATGGCTGGAGTCTGGCGACAATAGCCCCATACCTGATTTGATTCACACACGTCTTAAAGAGTTGCAAAATGCAAAAAATAAGGAGAAGAAAAAAGGTTTTTAATTACAATCAGAACTTTGCCTGGAAATGTGACATCCATGTATTTAAAGACATGAGAAAAACGCTGTGAAAATCCTCCAGGGACTGCAATGCAAAACCCATAAATGGTGGATGACACCGTGACCTTGGGTAAAAAAGTGGGTTGTCTACATTGGCCAAGTGACTTTGCATCCGAAAAAAATCCGGACTGTACCAAGCTTGTGCCAAGTTCAATTTAAAACCCTCCGGTGTTTTGGTCAAAACGTCGCAGTTGAAAATCCTCGAAGTGGAAAATTGTCGTGGTTTCTGGGAACATCATCGAAGTACATGATGGATGTTTCAGCCACGTTTGGAGGCCAACTATCTCCAGCTCTAAAAGACATCCCGAAACTCTCTGATCGTTGGCCATGGCCAGAAAGCGCGTTGGCTTATCCTTCGAAGAGGAAATGGGAATATGATGGCTATGCATCGAAGGCACAAAGCAGCATTGATATGTTTGAAGAACATGAAAACAACATTGAAAAAACAACTTCTATCATTACACTCAGATCGAAATAGTTTGCCAATGGATGTTCTCTCATGAATTCCATCCCATTTCATCCCCTAATTCACGTGGGGAAATCGTGGCATGACCCATTCCCACATTTTAATGTTGGGCCCCAAACCATCAGGCTCAATCTTAAAGGGTTATCGACAACCATCAACTCCAGCAATAGGGCATCATCCACGGATCCATGAAAGGGCCAGCAGACTTGTAATATCTTATAAATAATATCTCATAATCCACTTTTTTGTACGTACCTCGACCCTCCTGGAATGTGGACCCTTAAATGTATTTAAATGTGGTGTTTTAGCCCAATCTGTTTTGGCACTCTTACCTTTCTTTGGTGGCGAGTATTTGGAGGGTCACAAGGGTTTGCTCCCCAGCTACTGGGATCATCATCCTCTGCCGAGTGTCTTAAAGAGACCTTGAACCTTGGCGCCGAAGTGGAACGAACTGAGGCTCTCTTCAAAAACATCACTTTTCTTCCAGTAAACGAACTAAAACGCTATGGAAATCCATGAAATTCAAAAAACATGATCTATCCAGATGCTTTTTTAGGTTGATTTTCCAATATTTTCCATACTGCAGGGTTGCCCCAAAACCCAGGCCTGTCCCTTGACCCTCTGGTCTTCCTTGACACAGTTGACATATCCTCCGATAATCAAACGTGGCTGAAAAATCCGCGATGCACCCTATTTAACATACTAGTAGCCATGGAAAATCACCATTTTTAATAGGTAAACCATCTATAAATGGGCCATTTTCCATGGCTATGTTAGTCATAACCAGAGGGTACTTCGATGACACCGGAGGCTATGTACTTCGATGAGCCACTGCGCAAGGCTAACACGTCCAGACTGATCCACATCCAGCCGGTTGAATCCTGCGTAGATATGATCCTCCGAAATGCCTTGGGCGAGTCTCCAGATCATGGAGCAGGGTTTAGGGAATCTTGGAGCTCGGTGTTTTAGGGACTCAAAACTGCTTCTGAAAGGGAAATATGGCTATGATATGGGAATTGATATGGATAGTAGTATGATTATCTACCATGATATATCCACTTCTTTCGCTGCAATCTTGAGGATTTCATGAAGCCCATCTCCCTTTATTAAAGGCTTCGGCTTAACCCCACCAACCCAATAAGGGCCGACTAAACCCCTCTCAGTGTGTGGGGGTCTGGGAGATAGTCTTAGATCTCCATGAATGTTGCGAGTTTCAAAACAGAGATATAGGGGACATATATTCAATGACCATGACAGGAACCTCAATTGAAATATCCCCAGCAAGTATGGCCTGGTATCGTACAGTACCTCCATTCTGTCCTGAAATAGTTCACCGATATATTGCAAAAAAGCTTATTTGCAAATAACTTATTGGGGTCCAGAATGTGGCTCTGGTTTACAAACATGAACATGGCAACCCAACATGAAGTTGTGAAGTACAAAAAAACCCAAATGACTGGTCATGTTTTGTAAACAACCACGTTCATTAAAATGGCAAATCTGAACCATCGTTTATGTTGCTGGGACACGGAAATGGGGGGGTTGGTAAGATATTCATGACAATACCGACAGGTAACTAATCGTACCACCAAACTCCCATGAAGCTCCCATCACATTGACATGAAAACCCATGAAAACATACTAAACTCCCATGAAACTCCCATGAAACTCCCATGAAACTTCCAAGATTTTCCCATTTTCCCGGCGATTGACTCAGGGAAAAGCCATCTGAGCCGTCGCTCTGCCAAGTGGCCCCAGCTTTGCAAAAGAGTGCTGAAATCATCGAAGATCAAGATCTGGGGGTGTTCGACATGTTTTTTCTGCATGTTCCCATCTCTGTTTTTGGTTACTTTTGCAAATTAACTAGAGTAACTATGGTAATTCTTGAAACAAAATACCATGGGAAGTTACTATGACATTGAGTAACCATATCATACCATATCATAGCATATCTCTTTATAAATTGACCGTAGTAACATGTAGTAACTATGATGGTGCTGCTATATATGGTAACATGGATCCCATCAATATAACCCATTGATGTTAGCATACCAGCACCATGGATCCGTCATGGCTAGTGGAATTTCATGGACTTTCCCCGATTTTCGATCCGATGCAGAACAAATCCAGCCAAGCGGCAGACGGGTCAGTGACCTCGAGGCACAACAGCAGAAACCGGTGAGTTACATGGATAAAAATGCCATAGAAAAATATGGAGAAAAAAGCCGGCAGCTATATGTTGTTTGGATAAAACAGCCATGAAAAAAATGAATCAAAAAGCCATAGAAATTGGAATTTCAGCCATCCATCCTCTCCAGAAAATGGAGATCTTACGATTTTTTCGCCCCTAGTGACCCTAGTGATCTCACCAAGAGAATCCCCATCTTAAGCCATTGATATTCACATTTTAGCGCATGGAATTAGAATGATATTTAAAGTGATTTATATTATACACTTTACATAGATTTATAGAATGTTTTATAGATTCATACACTTTACATAGATTTATATAGTGTTTTATACATCGATTTATATACTTTACATAGATTAATCATTTATCCTTGCCCAGTGTTCGTTTGGGCAGCGGACATGTCAGACACGTCAGACACAGGTTTGGCATCTTGGCCAACCCTCTGAGCCACGGCTTTATCCAAAATAGAGGAGCCATATATCATCTATCATCATGAAGTATTTTAGTGGTCGTATTGAATGGTATACCAAATAGGTACTTATATACAATCATATACTAATTACGAATGGTACCACATATAAGTATATACTCATATATACTCATCTAATTTCATCTCAATATAAATGGTCGCTCACTCCCCTTGGTATTCCATTCGAAATCGAGCAGCTGCCAACTTCACAAAACACGCTTCCAGTTGATCCAAGCAAATGTCCTGAGACGCTCAACGTAGCAGGGGCCTAGGAGTCCTAGGAGCCTAGCGGCCTGGTGAAGAATCCAAAAACGCCGCGTGTAAGTGGTGAAGCACCAATATACCCGGCCTGGTAAACTGACACAGTTTGCGAACTGGAAAGATCCACCATGCTATTTTCATACATCCACTATAACTGGCCATTTTCAATAGCTATGTAAACGTTTACCAGAGGGTATCTGTTGTACTGATTCAATTTTAGGATATGTCACGATATTTTACGATGTCTCTCAAATTTATCTGGGAGAAACATCCCACTGGCAACAGGCTGAGCTAATCCTGGTTATTGAACACATAGCAATCTGGGATGCACGTCCAACATCATCCCAAGTTTTGGCGTGATCCGTGGATCAAAGGAAAATCTGAACAGCACCACGGCGGCTATGTAGATTTTGAATTTTGAATGATTTTGAAGGTGGTACATTTTCCTGAAAAGTAAAGTGCCGTTTCTCCGCCTTTTTCAGGAAACTTCTTCCCGACAACTCGCAGTCATGAAGTTCTTGCCACCCTCAGCCAAGATGCATAGTGGCATCGCAAATACATGAAGTCTTGCCTCAGCATTGGCAACAAGGATCGCACTGCAGTGGATCCCACGGCAGTGCCAGTGGGATTTTTTTTCGCTCATTTTCGGCCTCCCAAAGCACCCAACGCTTGGTTTCGATTCCGTGCACCAGTGCGTGCCAAGAATCTTGTAGATGAGGACACTCACTGCTGCTTTGGCCAACAACGCTGCAATGACTTGAAATGCGCCTACCATGGGCCCCATGGGCATCGAGGAGAAAATCTGCTTCCGTTGTCCCACTGTTTTTGGTTTCCATCTTTGGGGAGGAAACCAGTCGTCGCTATGTTGGTCAGGTCCCTAGTTTTTATGCCGCAACAGTCGATATGATACAATGTGAGGCCCCCAAGATATCTAAGTTGGTTTATAACTCCAATAACTATGGTTTATGGTATTTATAACTATAGTTGCAGGGGCTTGTAAACCAACTTATAACTGGGGGGCCTCACATTGTATGGATATAGATTTATTATATATATATATATATACATGCATATCAATATAGATAGATGAGGAACTGTCCGGCAAGTTGGGTTGGGTTCCCAAATTCTCAGAATGGGCTTAAGGAACATGTTAATTACAAGGTTTTACCCCTTTGAAGGCCTAAAAACCACATAAAGAAACAAGGCTTTCAACTTGTCTATCTTGTCTCGAAAATAGAGTTGTGTCCAAGCTCCCATTTCATCCGTGCCTATGTACTGCGATAGTGGAGTCATCGACACAAAGAACAAGAAATCCAGCTGCAACTTTGCTTCACGGTCCCATTCCTTGCACAAAGCGGCGCACTGACTCAGAAGCCGAGTCCAATGGCTCAGAAAATTTTGCATTCCAATGTCCACATATGTATATACAAGTATGTATATACAGTGTGCATACATACATATATATATATAGAGAGAAAGAGAGAGATTGTGTGTGTATATACCCACACACTGTGAGCCTGATTGTATATCGGGGTACTTGTTATGTAATATCTGTATTTTGAGACAACCCCATATCTAATTAACTAAGGATTCAAGAAATAATTAGCTATTAGGTCAGTTGCTGATTACACTCTGGTAATCTGAAATACCAACAGGCTACTCATGATTTTGGAACTGGGAGAACACCTGCAAACAGTGACGTTGAGAGTAATTCCTGCCATCACTCGTTTGACGTTCTGAAGAAACAGAAACCCACTGGTCTTTGACGTCGAAGGATTTTTTTTCGGATTTTTGTCCGTTTCCGACCAATTTTGGAAGCCAAGTTTCCGGCAAATATGGATAAGAGAACGCCACAGCCGCCAAAATTACAGAATAAGTGAAGCAAATCCTGAGTGTTCGAATAGCTCGGCAAGTGATCGTTTTTCGCAAGTTTTTGATGCTGATATTTAGTGTGGATTAGTGGATTTCAGAAGCTATAGCATAGCTATTGAAAATTACCCGTTTTAATAGGTATATCATGGTATATCATTCAACTAAATGGGCCATTTCCTTTAGCAATATATATATATAGGTGGTTTACCTATTTAAGATATTTCAAAGTGCTAATTCTCCATAGCTATGTTCAATTACCGGAGGGTACAAAAGAATTGGTGGTTTCCCATTGCAATCCGGGTTTCAGCTAAAAAACGCACATCGCATTGTGATGGAAATCTTTTCTGCAATGAGAATATACTAAAATGCAATCAATTGCAGAGTATACTAATTACTAACCATTTTCAGACACACAAATGATATTGGTTATTATAATATTATATATATCATATATCCCATGAATATCTCATACAATACCAAGTAATATCAATATCCAGTAATATTCACCATGACTTTTCAAAATGAAACTTGGTATGGCAAGCTTCGACATTCTGCAACTTCATCCAATCTCCCGTAGGTATACCAGAAATGGGCTACTTAGGCCGTTCGTTAGCTGGTTCAGTTGGTTATAACCCATTCTATTACTTCCAAGGGGTGACTAACCAGTTTAGTAACCACGGCCCATCTAAATACCTTTGTAGACCCACAACCATAACGGTTAATTCATCCGGTGAATCATCATTTTCCCTGTGAAAAGTCAATGTTCAGAGGAATAATAATGGTGTTTCATTATTAAAACATGTTCAGAACAATATTTTTATAATGAAACATGTTTTAATAATGTTCAGTCAATGGTTTTAATATTGGTGTTTCAGATTAAACATGTTCCCTATTAAAAATCGATTTTTTGGTGTTTCAGGGCCCTATTATGTTCCCTTTTCAGGTCCAGACCCAGACGTTTTTTCTTCCGAAGCTCCCGACGAAGACGCGCTTGAAATCCTTGGGCACATCCGCGGCCTCCGTGATGATTAACAGGGAAGACAACTCGACCATGAAGGCCTCGTGACTCATTGAGGTGAAGGCCATCCCTTCCAAGGCGACGGAAAACATTACAAAAAATGGCTGGTTAACCATGAACAATTGGTAGATAACCCTTTAAATGCCTGGTTAACCATGAACAATTGGTAGATAACCGTCCAAAATGGCTGGTTAACCATGAAAAACATGTAGATAACCCTTAAAAATGCCTGGTTAACCATGAACAATTGCTAGACAACCGTCCAAAAATGGCTGGATAACCATGAGCAATTGGTAGATAACCCTTCAAAATGCCTGGTTAACCATGAAAAATTGGTAGATAACCATCAAGAATTGCTGGTTAACCATGAACAATTGGTAGATAGCTCTTTGATTGAGGTAAATCATGGTAAAGCTATATATGGGGTATGGGGATATTTGGCACAGATTAATAGCTGCATGTCCGTCACATCATCTGTGCCCATGTCATCTTTCAACAAACACGTTGTGAAAGTAACTATAGGCCAACTAGGCTTCAACCCCAGCCACATGCTTGCCAACAGGGCTGATTTGGGCGTATATGTTTGAGCACAAGTTGGGAAGGGGCTGGCAAAACTGAAAACGGCACAAAACATAGCCATTATTAGCCACTTGGAAAAATATGTCCACATAGTTACCTTTTGAAAAATGTGCTCGAAAGTGAGATTGTTTTCAGAATCTGCCCGGAAAAACCAAAAAAGTGTACCAAACACCCTAAAAGTACACATTTATCTGTACCACTGGGCGGTGCAGGCATCAATAGACCCGAGGCTTAACTCGTTCAGGCTCTGGAATGCTCTAAGGCCGACTGCAGAGCTTCCAACAGATGGTTCCGATGGTTGATCCGCTGCCTTTGGGTTCCGCCAAGTTATGCGCTTTTTATTTACCCTCTGGTAAACATTTACATAACTTTGGCAAATCACAATTTTTAATGGGAAAACTCACTATTTTGACTGGGCCATTTTCCATAGCTATGTTAAATTACCAGAGGGTAAGTTGGTGATGGTTTTATCCCACATCTCTTTTCACACCTCCTGTCCTCCTTGTGCCCCTGACACAAAAAAAAACTCCCGGAGCCAAGGCGCCAGCTCCAAGAGGAGTTCCAAGAGATAAACATGCACCTGACGTCTGAGTTCAGCAAAAAACATCCGGAGGTCACCAGGTAGAAACTGGTGGAATATGGTGATAAAATCGTGGCGAAGAAAATGGTGATTCACCAACCAAGGTGAGAATTCAACAGCAGATTTTCAAGGGATACAGATATACCCTTCGGTCATCCAACATGGCTAACTGAAAAAAAACAAACTGGAGGTTTCGTTCGCTGGGAGAATTATCGATTCTCATGGAGGCTTTTCCAGCGGTTGATCAGGTGTCACGGATCACCGCTAGCAGCGGCGGCATCCGGCAATGATCAGCAAGAATGGGGTCCCCACCCATTCACCCATTTCCAGGAGCTAAGAAATAGAAATAGCAGGCAAAATTCAAACAAAAAAAGAGGATGACGAACGTAGCCGGGTGTAGCATGTTGTAGCCCATTGGGATTAGTTCGGTTGAGTCAGGTTGGAATTGCAAGTGGATGTTTGAATTCTCACAAACCCTGGAAGATTGATGGTTGACGTGCAAAAATCACGCTGTAACTTCTCTGAATTTTCTTAAGGTACCACAGGGCTGGAGGAGTCAAATAGGATATCAAAAGAATGTCGATGATATATCACAGTAGCAAAGATCAACCTTTTCGGGTCCGGGAAATTTTGCCTGGTATCCATATGTGGTCAAAGTTATTCCTTCGATTCCACGTTTGCGACAAATCCTCATTCGGATAAAATCAACTATAGTAATACAAGGTCTGATGACTTTGGGGATAGTCCCATAGAAATGTGATCTGCCCATGCTGTTGCTTGTGTGCCATGGTAAATCACACGGGTTATTGACATACTTGGCAGCCGGCCTCACGCTCATGCTCCGCAGCCAAGTGTATCTCAGAGCATGCGGCTCTGGGTACCAGGATTAGGTGGTTCAATAGAACTACAATATGTGCACATATGTATATATATATATACATAAATATGTACATATGTACATGTACCCCACGAATCCCCACAATATAAAAATACGATCATCTGTTCAGGTATCATATTGTATGATTATATATATATAATTATATGTACATCTATAGATTTATACATACATATATATTATATTTTAGTATATATATATATATTGTATTGTGTATATATACATATATCACATGTCGAGAAGGTACGGATCACGATCATGCACCATCATACATCGACTGGTCATTGGAAGGGCAAAGCTAACCAAGCTAAGCGAGATTAAGCGAGTGCCGTTGTCGCTTCACTTGACCCAATGTTCTAAGGCTGGAGAATATCCCATTAATATATATATATATCATCATTTTGGTTATATCACTATTACCACTAAACCACAATTAAATCCATTAGATATCACTATTCATACCCTCTGGTAAACTAACAGTTTGCTATGGAAAATCACCATCTTTGATAGGTAAATCATGGTAAATCAACGAACTAAATGGGCCATGGCTCCCATAGCTATGTAACAAATTACCAGAGGGTACATATTCATCGAATTTGATGGCTCGAGTTTCTACTTAAGGGATCTACCCACTTAGCAAGTAGTTTTCATATGGCACAGTGGATGTCGCTGACTTCTAGATGGGCTACACTAAGCTGAGTGAAGGGGTTTGATAACCACAGTGATTAAGAACCTTCGGGATATCGTGATAGCATGGTTCATCTAGTAGTTTGTTTTCCCAAAAAACAATGGTATAGTGGATCTAGCCCAATTCGGGGGTCATATCTAGATCATTTAGAGTTTTCTTGTTGCTATGATCAGGCGACAAAAACACAAACGGCACAACCAATAGAACCTACCATTCACCAAGGAATACCTACAGAAAACCCGAAGACTCTAGGTAAATATCCCATTCTTGTTGGTAAATATTGCAAAATCGCTGGTAAATATCATCTGTGGAATAGGATTTTTGGATATGTTTCCTATAGATTCTGGTAGATATTCCAAGATATTAAAAGATCTTCGGCAACCTCCCAGCCCAAACTCCGAAAAAAATACCCAGCCCAGCGGCAAAGTGTCGGGAAAAGGCCTTCGCAGCCCAGGCCCTAAGGACGCATGCCTCTGCTGGATTGCCAGTGGAGCTCATGGGTACCCACAATCACCAGTTAAATAACTCCATGGCCCACCCAAGCAGTGCATTCGGAAAAGGGAAAACATATATATATAATATATATATATTAATTATAATATATATATTTTTTTATTCTGGTATATTATTACATATTATTACATATTGTACTAATAAATATATATATAATCATAATATATATATATATTTTCTCGGTTACATATAATATATCATAATATAATCATATTTTATCGAGAAAATGATTGCCGTCATCAGCCACAACCAAAAAACATGTGGCAATCTGGACTTTGGGCCATCCGTGGGAATCGCTGGCTGCTGGATTATGATAATCATAGTATTACAATCATTTATGCTCTACGGATCTATAATATCTACAACCTGTAAGTCTGAATCTATAATGATTCTTAAAAAACATGGTATTCATATGATATTCATACTCCATGAATCATGGTAGTATACCGTATACCGCTATGTGGTTTATGAAGGGGGGGCAGCTTTGAACTGTTAGTGGCGGTGTGCAGGGCCCAAAGTATACGATTGTCTTGTCCCAAGGTTATTAAAGGACCGATTTTGTCCTGGATTTCCACCACTTTGGACACGCTTGGACAGGCGATATCACTCAGAATAACCTCGCCAAAATTCGTGGATGGAAAAAAAAACCTTTGGTTGATTACATAGATAATCATCATGCTTAATCACATCAGTACCCGAGTACGGATGGATCAATTTCAATCAACCAGGATCACCACATGGGCATCGTGGGACCATACCCCAAGCTTGGACCTATACACTGGGGAGAAACCAGATACAAAGAACATGGTGCCCCCCGATGTGAAATGTTTGTTGGCGTGTAAACCCCATTACCCTCTGGGAATTTGTTATAGTGAGTTGTCCCATTAAAAAATGTGATTTTCCATAGTTATGTTAGTTTGCCAGAGGGTAACTAGTTAGATATTGATCAACCAATCCTGAAATGCAAGTACCTACTACGTCTAAACCAGCGAAACTCTAGATATTATATATATAATTACATATCATATACCATGAACCCACCAGAAACTATTTAATATTAGTTTCTAATATACACATAACATAAACCCACCATTAAAATGCCGTTATAAAAATATGCTTACCACGTTCGCCCTAAACCGGGCTGCTATGATGGCCCATGGGTCAAACGTGCTGAAGGTCATCCGAAGCAGTTTGCTGTGAACCTCAACGGGGTCGTGGGTTGTCACCGTGGATGAGCTATCGGGACAACTGACGGGGGTGGCCAGATTGGTCAATTTCCAAGTTGGTAACTAGGCAAGTTCTAGGACTTATGGATGTTTATGGATGCTTCTGGTATATGTTTAAAAAAAAACTCTAAACTATGAACATGAGGGTAACATAAACCAACAAACATAAACCAACCATCATGTCACTGGGGGGGCACCACCTTTCCACCTGGTACAGTAGGGATTCTATAGCAATTTGCTGGGGGGAAATCGTCTCCAAGATGTCCAGTGGATGCTGAACAACTCCAAATCTGTGGATGTGGATACTGATAAGGAGGAGTGGGAGGATGAAAGTCAGGATAAGGAGGATGACGATGATGATGATGATTATGATGACTGGTTGGTGGTTTGGACCCTTCCGAAAAATATGAAAGTCAGTTGGAATGATTATTCCCAATATATGGAAATAAATAATGTTCCAACCACCAATCAGATGATGATGATGATGATGATGATCATCCATTGAAACCTCCACTTTTTTCATATTTTTTTCTGACATCTTCCGATGATGTTCCCATATCCCCATGCTTCGGTGATTTGCCATGTTTGCCAAATGCTGCGGTCCAGTGGCTCGTGTGGAGACACAGTAAACTGCAATCCCCAGCAGCAAAGTTTCAGTGATCCACATGATCCACGACAACGTCGTTGGCATCCGAAGGCGGATGACCCCGGTCTCTCCTGAATTTGGCGGAGGACTGGACCCCGGTCTATCCCTGGTGAAGTGCATAGTTTCAGCCAGGATAAAGCCACTTAGAATGGGGACTTCCTAACGATTGGGTTATTCTAACCACTTACGATTCGTGGGATGATCCAGTGATGAAGTGCTTGGAAAACATGGGGGGGTTGAGAAAACTGGTGCCGCCCCACGTGAAATGTCTTGTTGGTTTATGGTACAGAAATGGTTTATTCTTCGATGTACCGCAAAGCCAACAGTTATTGGAGAGAACTTACCCGTACTAGACCAACTGATCTACCGAACTGGAGCACCACCTTAGTACCTTCGTGAATCACCGCAATGATGGCCCCATAGAGAGCCATCCTGTGGAAAGGATCGAGAGTGTAGAGATCTGCATACCCAAAGAGCTGTGTTAGATTGGAGACATTCAGGTTGATATGGTCTCATCTGCATGCCAAAAAATCCATCCATTGTCCTGTGAATATAACTGCGGATATCCATGTACATAATCTATAATTATTAATTGTACTTCCCTCTTCAAGATCAACGCAGACCCTGCCAAATAGGCTTTTTTGAAGACAACTTTGCACTAAGAATTGGCTGTTATAAGGGTCTATCTTAATTTGGTGGAAGGTATCTCATACAGTTTTTCACTTACAATGCCCGGGCGGCACCCCTGGTCCATCGTCCTGTGAATTCCACAATGTTGCAAAAGACACCGAAAAAATCTGCCACGTGCAGAGCTAGCCCCAGGAAAATTGCCAGCAGCACCGGCCACTTCTTACGCAGAAGCAGCTCTCCCCATCGCATACCAGACCTGCAAAATGCCCCCTCCCCCAACCGAAAACTACAGGGTGATGCTCCAGTTCGTTAGCTAAGTTAATTTATAACTGCAATTTCACTAGGATTTCTGGGGGTTGTCATGTTGTTTTCTTGGGGGAGTGTATATAAACCAACTAACATGACTGCGGGGATACCACCCTGTAAGTTCTTATGTAACATCAACGATGGTTTATGCTACGACCAACTCACTGGAGGGCGATTTTCGGGATGACCGAAAATGTAGGGGTACAATTAGTGAGGCCCCCGTTGGATAGCTAAGTTGGTTTATAACTCCAATAACTATGGTTTATGGTACGTCAATAACTATAGTTACTGGGGCGAATCTAAACCAACTTATAACTGGGGGGGCTCACATTGTACCCAATTTTCAAACGGACCCTCCAGGGTTCTCCCAGAAGTGGCACGCAAGCAATATTGAAGGCATCGACTTGAAGGCAAAATTTGAGGATGTGAAGCACTTACATTATATACAGGCTGGGGTCCCCATGCATCTTTCTGTCTCCAAGCCATGTCGGAAACGTGAGATTACCAGCCTATGTCGCATAACATTGCTTACGCCAGACCTTACGCAATGCTTACGCGACCACAATTTTGACTTTCGCGGCATGCATGTACATATCATTACTTAATGTTCACCTAGGATTCATAAACTCACCCTAAATAAAGCTAACCAAACTCCCAAACTAAATAATAAATGACCCCTAAATAAAGCTAATTTTTTTTGGCCCTAAACCCAGATTTGCCCAGATGGGGCTGACCAAAATTGTCCATGCTTTATTTGAGGTGGCTTTCATGTACTAATTCATACTGCCAGCTCATTATATAGATCTTACCTTGATAGCTTCAAAATTTCAAAAATAATGGATGCTCTTTCTCTTCAAATCCTTTATGTAAAACCTATCCAAAATCAATCCCAAATCAACTCATCAAGGCTACCCCCCATGAGGTGCCTTAGCACTAATTAGAGTTTGACCCTGAATAGAGCTACTGAGCTTTCCCCTCCCGCTGATCAAGAAATGAATACTAAATCAATACTAAATCCATGAAATGAATACTAAATCAATACCAAATCAATACTGACTCCATGAAATGAATACTAAATCAATACTCACACAATTGTTGGATTCCTTATTTTTTTTTGAAATTGCATTTATATTATCATTTTATATTGTGGTAATTGAAAACCAATACATACAAACAAGTTTGATGGTGGCTTTAACTCTATTTAAGGGCAAAGACGGGGCGGGGGCTATTTATAAATCAGAGGTCAACATTACGCGAAGCTTACGCTGACAGGTTTGACTTAAAACGCATAGTAAATGCTTGCGCCAGGTATGTATAGTATGTTTCAGTCAGGTATAATAACGCTTACGCCAGAACTTACGCATTGCATTTTGCAAAAGTGGCTTACGCCACCTTGCGAAACCCAGGGTTTTGCTTACGCGACCCAGTCATATAACACAACTCTTCTTAAAGTGTATTCAGGGGGGTTCTGACGATGCTCAAGTAACTTCAAGGCGACACAAATACCCTTGAAATCGATTGAAATACAGGTCAGTTCTAGTGGACCTGAGGATTGTAGATGGTCGGCCATGTCGGTTGCCTATCCTAAACTTGATCCAAAAGTTGAAGGATACCCAACAAACAACTAGACCCAAAACTCCAACAAAGAGTTGTTGGCACTTTCTCCAGTGGTTTCAAGTATAAGTAACTCCCCTTTTAAGGAGAGTACCTGTGGTTGTTTTCCTTAGCCAGATTCTCCATTATCCCGGTCCTCGCTGCTTGGACAGATTGCTTCCAAAGAAATATGAAACTATCTGCCGATATAGTAACCATCAGTAAATATAGTAAATGGTGATATTGTGGGTATATGATGCAATATGTTTTTATGGGCATATAATGGGATACGTAACCCAACTTGATATTATTTGGCTTTTGTACCTAAATGTTTAGCCGAAAAGGCAAATGTTGACACTTAATCATCATTTCCACAATTAACATAATTAGCCCTAACTGTGGTCGTTCCCCTATTTCCAGACAGACCCAAATTCGCCAGACCCTGCGGTTCTTCACTAAAGCTGTGACATGTGGCTTGAAAAAACATGAAACACCTGGACCATATTTTGAGACAAGACGTGCCGAACGCCGTGCGTCTCATGTATCAAACGTGGGAAATTTATGTTCGGGGTCGCAGAATTGCCCGCCATCTAACCTCCACACATCGATAAGTGATGATGTTATCGGCCAAGTTAGGCATTTGCATCAGCTATGATTGTAAACTGTTACATAACGAACTGGAAAATCACCACTAAATAGTGGGTAAATCAACTATAAAAACGGCCATGTTCAATAGCTATATGCAACAGTCATTACCGGTATTCTTGGGGATCTAGCAAGTTGATTTTCGGGCACCAGCTTCCCCGAAAAAAAGGATCATAGGAAATTAGATTTCACCGTACATATATAATATGTTTAAATAATATATACATATTTTACATATGTGTATATATATATATATACACACGTATTCATATATATATATATATATCTACATATGTAATTTGTGTGTGCATCTCTTAGTATCTCCACCGCAGAACATCACCAAGATCATGGCTTCTGTTCGAGGCACAAGAGGTGCCCGCTGAGGACATAAGCTCTCTCCTTGGGCTTCACCACCAACACACGGCCTACAGGGTGTAGCGGAGGTGTCCATGGTGAGATGTGGTGAGGATGTTTTAAAATAACCTGGGGATACATGGGGTTCAATTCATCTTAGATACCTGCAAAAAAAAAATCTTAGCTGGTTAGTAGATAATTCAGATAATTCCGTTGATACCAAAAGATTAAAGGATGAGTTTCTACCCATCTAAGATTGACCTAGCGATGTGGTTGATGTTTTGAAATAACCTGGGGTGAAAATTTGTAAGTCGGACATATGTTTGTATATTATAAGATAAATTTGCTAATTATCATCCGGGTTGAGGGAGTGTTTGTACTATTGACGATTTAGAACTGATCTGGGGTCAACCACCCCCAAGTGACATAGACCCTGCAATTCATAGGCGCTTGGAAGACTAGTTTCCTTCCCTGCAAAAGGCTGGTTTGGATCATTTTGGATCTATCCTCAGGGAACACAAGCAGTTTATAACATTTTATAACCATAGATTCACGAAGATTTTTCTACAACTGATATGAATCATCGTTTATTACTGGATGATCACATGTAGCAATAATTGAAAACACGAAAAACGGCGGTCATGAGATGGTCGAACCAAATGTAAGTTGGTTTATAATCCAATAAACTAGTTCGATATATCTACCATAAGTCCTAGTTATTAGAGTTATAAGTCCAAACTTGGCTATCTTGGGGGTGTCTTAGTTAGAAACAAATGACACACCACTGTTTTTTCTTCCGCGAATCAGGGGCACCAAATCATCCATCTGAAGCCAAATGCTACAAGGAGGCACCACCTGAAATTTTGATGATCCTCCAGAATTTTAACCGATGTAGATACGGAAAAACCCACCAAACATGTAGATCCTTTTCCCGAGAGCATAGGTCTTCAATATCTATATTAGTCTATATTCATTTACTAGAGAGTATCTGACAGCAGTTCCTGAACCCCTGCCCAAAAAAACACTCTTGACAAATTGATTGATGAACCATGTTTATTTTTTTTAATGGGGGTCCCAGAATCGTCCAGAACTGGACAAGTGCTTTGCTGGAAACCAATGGTTTTGGGTAACCCAGTTTTAACAAACACTTTGCAGTATATATATATATAGAGATGTTTGCATACATACAGAGAGTATATTGCATTAATGTATATTATGTTATTCTAATTTTATATTATACTATATCATCTCATATCCATTGCATTATATAGTATTAGACTATATCATATTATGATATATTAAATTGTGAAATATCATATTATGTTCTAGTATACTGTATTATATTAAAGTATATTATATTATTTTGCGATAAAAACAGATAATATTTCGCTATACTGTGATACATTATATTGTAATATATTGTAATATAATATATGAGTGAAAATAAATAAATATCTTGATTATTACAATATAGTATTACAGAGTGTATATTGTAATATATTGTAAAAAAAATGTAATAAAGTATGAGTGAAAGTATGAGTGAAAATATATAATATGTATATGATATATGTGCACCTAGACCATCCAAATGCCACCACAAAATCCAGGTATACATAATTCTCAAATATATATACAGGCGCGTATATATATATACACAATATCATTATTCTCAATAATCAAGACTATTGCTACATATATGTATAACTAAATATAGGTTTATATATAATTACATACTATAATTATGCAAAACTTAAATTATATACAAGTAGAAATAGTTATATTTATCATTTATAATTACATAGATATATAATCATCTATATAATTACAAAACATTAAATCAAATATTCAGAAATTTGATATATCAATATATCATGATAATCATCTATATATATATATATCAATATATCATGACCAAATATGTTAAGAAAGCACACCTCTGATCCGCAGATCGGCACCTTTCTGTCTAGTGTTGATTGGCCCAACGCGAGTGATGCGAGTGTTCGCCGGGATGATCTGGGAAGCAATGCTGGCGACGCGGTGACGCGGATGACAATGCTGGGCGGGTGAAACACCGTTCCAAACTAGGGAAAAATGGTGATTTACCCAGGAAACATTGGGAAAAATGGTGATTTACCCAGGAAACATTGGGAAAAATTGTGATTTACCAAGGAAACATTGGGAAAAATTGTGATTTACCAAGGAAACATTGGGAAAAATTGTGATTTACCCAGGAAACATTGGGAAAAATTGTGATTTACCCAGGAAACATTGGGAAATCCTATTGAAAAGAAATGCACGTCCTTTCAAGGAATGGCTTATGATATGGTTATTACATGTTATTACCCCCCAACCATATTATAGTATTGTAAACCGGTACAACACATTGCAACCCACATAGAATATCGATTATGTACATATACATATATATATATATATACATGATATTACCCGGTTACAATGTTAGTGCCCACAAGTGCGATGAGCGCAGCATCACGCTGTTTCGACGAGTCACGCTGTTTCGGCGATTCCCGGCGGAAAAGGCACGCACCAAGATATTGTTGCCCGACAAGATCGTGCCGGGCATGACTTTGCATGGCAGCGCCGCAGAGTTGAGCAAACCTCTAAATGGCTATTGAATTTTAATAGGGAGCATGATTACAATCCAATGGATGTGGGGGTAGACTATTTTCAGACAAACCCATATCTTGTATGTCTTCAGGTTTGGTCGCTGTCATCGGTCAGGATTCTGTCCATGTCCACTATACAGGCTGGACATGTCATATGTTTTGGCGTTGAACATGGTCAAAAGTAAATCTTCCGCCGTTTCAAGTGATGTGCAATGAAGAAGATATCAAAACGTTGGAACATATCTGGAGCCTTGTAGCTTGTAGCTTGTAGGGAAATGATCAGCTACTCCTTTGCCCCAATGGACCTCGCTGTGCCTGTCACATATAAATCACATGGCAATCTTTACGACCCAATTTTGAAGCTTCGCTTGAGACCCAAATCCCACGAGCTCAAAGGTACGTGCATCGTTGAAAATACTGCTACAATGTGTATCTATATTTGTTTAATATGTATTAATTTGTGTATAAGTGTATAGCCTGTATAGCATAATTGCATATGTGTGTTTAAGTTAGGTCTAGGTCGAAGCGATTTCACTGTATATATTGTCTATCCCAAGAAACATAGTTTACGCTTTGGAAATTCAACATTTCAAAAAAGAAAGTGGTCCATTGACAGATGCTTTACCTGTCAATGGTGATTTTCCATAGGAAACTTGGCTGTCCCCATGAGAAGTCCCCCGGGTCATTGATCAAGGCTCGTTGTTCGGCTTCCAAGAGCTATCCTCCATGGGAGCTAGAAATTGACAGCCAGATTTCGGCTCAAAGAGCCATCAAACAGGCAACGCACTAATATACTTTAACTAGCCCTTTGGCTTTTGGCCGTGGCTTTGAAAATTGAATCTGGTTCCTGAAAGTACAACACTCAACAATACCCAGGTGATCCATATATGGAGTGTTTAGCAAGATTCAACCCAAAACATCACCCAACTGTAGAGAAATATATGATGAAGTATATATTGATATGAAATATAGGTTGAAATATGCGAATCCCACATTGATCAAAGCGTTTTCCAGATCTTTTTGCGGATACAGAAAAAAACAAGATGAAGCCCACGAACCCGAATGCTCACACGTATGTTAATGGTACAGATGTCAAAACACATGGTTATGCAGTCACGCGCAATACCTTTCTGGAAAAGTTTATTTGAACAGTCTTGTACATGTTTCCCTTGTTACCAGTCTGCAGTGTGGAGTGGAAAGTGTAGAGTGTGGAGTGTGGAGTGTGAAGTAAGGAGTGTGGAGTGTAAAGTGTGGAGTGGGGAGTGTAGAGTGTGTAACGTGTAGAATGCGGAGTGTAAAGTGTAGAGTGTGGAGTATGGAGTGTAAAGTGTAGAGTGTGGAGTGTAGAGTGTGGAGTGTAGAGCGTAGAGTGTGGAGTGAGGAGTGTAAAGTGTGGAGTGTGGAGTGTAAAGTGAGGAGTGTAAAGTGTGGAGTGAGGAGTGTGGAGTGTAAAGTGAGGAGTGTAAAGTGTGTAGTGAGGAGTGTGGAGTTTGTAAATTGTAGAGTGTGAAGTGTAGAGTGTAAAGTGTAGAGTGTAAAGTGTAGAGTGTGGAGTGTGGGGTGTAAAGTGTGGAGTGTAAATGTAGAGTGTGGAGTGTAAAGTGTGGGGTGTAAAGTGTGGAATGAGGAGTGTAAAGTCTGGAGTGTAGAGTGTGGAGTGTGGAGTGTAAAGTGTAGAGTGTGGAGTGTGGAGTGTAAAGTGTGGAGTGTAAAGTGTGGAGTGAGGAGTGTAAAGTGGAAAGCGTGGAGTGTAAAGTGTAAAGTGTGGAGTGTAGAGTGTATAGAGTAGAGTGTAAAGTGTAAAGTGTAGAGTGTGGAGTGTGGAGTGTAAAGTGTGGAGTGTAAAGTGTGGAGTGTGAAGTAAGGAGTTTGGAGTGTAAAGTGTGGAGTGAGGAGTGTAAAGTGTGGAGTGTGGAGTGTAAAGTGTGGAGTGTGGAGTGTGGAGTGGAAAGTGTGGAGTGTGAAGTGTGGAGTGTAAAGTGTGGAGTGTGGAGTGGGGAGTGTAAAGTGTGGAGTGAGGAGTGTAAAGTGTGGAGTGTGGAGTGTAAAGTGTGGAGTGTAAAGTGTGGAGTGTGGAGCGTAAAGTGTAGACTGTGCAGTCTGGAGTGGAAAGTGTAGAGTGAGGAGTGTAAAGTATAAAGTGTGGAGTGTGGAGTGTACAGTAAAGTGTGGAGTGTGGAGTGCGGAGTGTGGAGTGGAAAGTGTAGAGTGTGGAGTGTGGAGTGTAAAGTGGGGAGTGTGGAGTGTAGAGTGTGGGGTGTGGAGTGCGGAGCTTCCCCCATAGACACGGCGACGCCACAGGAAAACCAGCGACTCGAGACAAGACACGTGGATGCAGAAAAACCAGCATTTCGTACGAGACTTCCTCCAATTTTGACATTTTTGACACATTAGCAAACAGGTTGGAATGTCACAAAGTGCCACGCCTGCCACGCAAAACGACATGACAACCTGCTTGGACACATTCGAATAGGAGAGGTTTTCCAGCTTCCCCCATAGACACGGCGACGCCACAGGAACACCAGGGACTCGAGACAAGACACGTGGATGCAGAAAAACCAGCATTTCGTACGAGACTTCCTCCAATTTTCATACTTTGGTGCCAAGTTCATGTTATAACTGGTTATAACTAAAGTTATACAAGAAGTTATGAAAAGTTATGAAGTGAAGAAAATATCAACAATTTTAGCACATTTTTATAACTTAGAAAAATTGAAAAAAACACTTGTTTTTAGTGTATCGAAAACAATAGTTTTTCTAATTATAGCGGTTGAGCCGCTTCGAAATTGTTTTTTTAGAAAAAATCGGGGTTTTCATCGCTTCCATGGCTGAGGGAATGTGCAACTGGTTTTTAAACAGAACAGGCCACTGTGGGAGCGCGCCTTTTTAGGTGCTTTATGCACCTGCAATGGGTTAGTTTGCCCTTTGCAATCTCACCTTTGCAGTTTCTTTTCTTTTTACAAAGACAAAAAAAACACACAAAAAACAAAAAAACAAGAAACAAAAAAAAGACCCAACAAACTGCATCTGACCCCCTCCCCTTGGGGTGTTCAATCTTGTTTTTTTTTTGTTTTTTTTGGTTTTTTGGTGTTTTGCTTTCTTGGTTCGTTGTTATTTTGAGGGACTGGCAAAAAAAGTGGCAGGATCTAACTCTTTGCCACTTTTCCCCCCTTAGGCATTGCAAATTTGTTTGTGGTTGTTTCTGCTTGCTTTAGGTCTCTGGTTCCATTAGAAACCATGTAAAAACCAAGGAAAAACAGGTATCCTTGGGGGAAGGTTAGGGGCTTGGGGCATGGATTAAGCAATTTTGTTTTTGACTTATTTTTGAAAACATGCCAGAAGACTATGAAAAAACAAAGGCAGCCAATGAGTACGTTTTTTTGATATTGACATTGCTGACTATAAACCCCAGTTTCCCCTAGTACATCCCAATATATCCCACCCATATGGGAATGTCTCAAAATGAGGCGAGCCCTTTTTTTTAAAGTAGCGTTTTGGGGGTCAAAAAAGGCGCGCCTCATTTTGAGACGTCCCCATATACCACAGAGGTCTTTACAGGATTAGATTAGATCATTTTACAGAGGTCTTTACAGGCTTGGGTGAGGGACTGAGGGATTGAATTAGATTAGATTGGATTAGATTAGGTTAGATTGGATTGGCTTGGCTTGCTTTGGATTGGATTGGGTGAGGGACTGGATTGGATTAGATTAGATTAGATAGATTGGATTGGCTTGGCTTGGATTGGATTGGATTGGGTTGGTTTGGACTGGATTGGATTGGATTAGATTAGATTAGATTAGATAGATTGGACTTGACTGGATTGGATTGGATTAGATTAGATTAGATAGATTGGGTTTGAGTGGGTTGGATTAGATTGGGTTAGGTTGGATTAGATTAGATTAGGTTAGGTTAGATTGGATTGGATTTGGTTTTGTTGGATTGGAATTAGACTGGATTGGATTGGATTGGATTGGAATTAGATTAGATTAGATTGGATTAGATTAGCTTAGATTAGTTTAGATTAGGTTGGATTGGATTGGATTGGATTTGATTGGATTGGATGGGGTTGTTGGATTGGATTGGATTGGATTGGGTTGGATTGGATTGGATTGGATTGGATTGGATCAGATTAGATTAGATTAGATTGGATTGGATTGGATTAGGGAGTGTACGAGTATACCACCAGTGTGCCACCAGTGTGCCACCAGTGTGCCACCAGTATACCACCAGTATACCACCAGTATACCACCAGTATACCACCAGTATACCACCAGTATACCACCAGTATACCACCAGTATACCACCAGTATACCATGGTATACGGTCAGTATACCATGGTATACGGTCAGTATACCATGGTATACGATCAGTATACCATGGTATACC